TATATTCTTTCTCTACTAGCTTTGTGGCAAAGAAATCGAATATCTTTTTATCTCTATCGAAGAGGGTTTTTGTGAACTGGGTTCCAAAGCATATATGCTTTACTCTGAATGCGTGCAAGAAAAGCCAAGTTTGGGAGTGGTTTTTATGTTTGCTTTTAAAAGATCTTCTACTGCGTTAGTAAACCTCGTTCATGACTAGTTGAGAGGAGATGATGGAAGCTAGAACAGATCGTTTCACTGACACTGTGTTTTCTTGGTCGTTTGAAGACATTTTCAATGAAAATCTTTACAAGAACGAGGTATTTTCGTGCACTTTGTTAACGTTTTCTCATGAATGTTATCTACACAGGTTTGCCATAGTCTCTGAACCTTTATTAGTATTGTTTCAGGTGCAAAAAATTCCTGAATCATTTGATTCGGTTAAGCATTATTTTTCTTCTTATTTATATCCATTATTGGAAGAAACTCGAGCACAGGTGCATTCAAGTATGGAAACCGTTGACAGATCACCATTTGCTAAAGTTGCTGCTTTTGAAAAATGCAATCCTTATGGTCCTTATGGGGAAAATGTATATCATATCAAGGTTGATGGCTGGGGAAACAGGTTCAATGATCGTGGCAAGGAACCATACAAAACTTTGCCGGGGGATCTTTTAATTGTCTTAGCAGATGCCAAACCCGAAACGGTTTCTGATTTACAAAGGGTAGGGAGGTCCTTCTGGGCTTTTGTTTCAGTCACATATGTCCCAGAAAATGAGGACGAGGATGACATTGACAGTACTTCTCTTTATTTTAGAGTCAAGGCATCCAAAGAGTTTGAAGTCAACGATGGCACTCATACATCACTGTTTTTGGTTTTCCTGGTGAATTTAATCCCTAATAGCAGAATATGGAAAGCATTGCACATGTTCGGAAATCTGAAGATTATCAAGGAAGTTTTGTGCACCGATTCTGTGGTAAGACCTTAAGGATCAATACTGTAGGTTCGTAATGTATTGCATTGACTTAAATAAGACCTATTCATGGCATATGAACCATACATGATGCAAGATGTAATGAAATACTCACCACACATCATACCAAAAATATCTGTTGTTATACTTCAGAAACTGACGTTTATTTTGGGGTGACTGAAAATCTTATGCTTGCTAACAGGCTCAGAAAAATAATTATCTCTGTTCTGAAACGAATGATGACATTCGGGATAAGTGGTTAGTTGAGAGTTCATCATCAGGATTGAATGAGTCCCAAACTGGGGCAGTTTTGGCCTTTTTTTTTTTTTTTTTTTTTTTTTTTTTTTTTTTTTTTTTTTTTTTTTTTTTTTTTTTTTTTTTTTTTTTTTTTTTTTTTTTTTTTTTTTTTTTTTTTTTTTTTTTTTTTTTTTTTTTTTTTTTTTTTTTTTTTTTTTTTTTTTTTTTTTTTTTTTTTTTTTTTTTTTTTTTTTTTTTTTTTTTTTTTTTTTTTTTTTTTTTTTTTTTTTTTTTTTTTTTTTTTTTTTTTTTTTTTTTTTTTTTTTTTTTTTTTTTTTTTTTTTTTTTTTTTTTTTTTTTTTTTTTTTTTTTTTTTTTTTTTTTTTTTTTTTTTTTTTTTTTTTTTTTTTTTTTTTTTTTTTTTTTTTTTTTTTTTTTTTTTTTTTTTTTTTTTTTTTTTTTTTTTTAACACAAAGAAAACGAAGAAGGAAACGTTGACCCAGATCACCATTTGATAAAGTGTGCTTTTTGAAAAATGCCAATACCTTATGGTCCTTATGGGGAAAATGTATATTTCTATCAAGGGTGATGCGTGGGGAAACGTTCAATGATCGTGTCAAAGGCAACCCATACAAAACTTTGCCGGGGGCATCTTTAATGTCTTAGGCAGATGCCCAACCCGAAACGGTTTTGATGTACAAAAGAAGGGTTACGGGAGGGGGTCTTCTGGGCTTTGTTTCAGGCACATATTGTCCCAGGAGGGAAAAATGAGGACGAAGGCCAGGCCTGACATTGACAGACTCTCTGTCTTTATTTAGGGTTAAGGCATCCAAAGAGTTTGAAGTCAAGATGGCACTTCAATACATCTAGCTGTTTTTGGTTTTTTCCTGGTGAATTTTAATCCCTAATAGCAGAATAGGGAAACATGGGCACAGTTCGAGGGAAATCGAGATATCAAGGATTGTGGCACCGATTCTTGGTAAACCTTAAGGAGCAATCTGTAGGTTTCTATGTATGGCAGGGACTTACACATAAGACCTATTCATGGCATATGAACCTATACATGATCAAGTTGTAAAGAAAACTCACACACAAGCATACAAAAATTTGTTGTTATATACTTCAAACCTGACGTGTATGTTTGGGGTGACTGGAAATATTATGCTGGCCTAAACAGGCTAGGGAAAAAATAATTATCTCTGTTCTGGAAACGAATGATACTTAGGGATAAGTTGTTAGTTGAGAGTTCATCATCAGGATTGAATAGCCGTGAAGTCCAAAAGGGGGCAGTTTTGGCCGGCTTGGAATGCTGCGGGGTGATCCAGTCTACCGCTGCAACTTATATGGGGTTGCCCAACTGGGACAGGAGAGGGGCGGAAAAACTAAAACCACAGCCGACGCTTCTTTTACTCTGTTAAGGAGAAATGTAGGACTATAATTTGTGCTTCCCAACAAATGTTGCAATAAATGAAAGTTGCCTTCTTTGTTCTAAAGATGGTAACGAAGCCAAAGTCCAATTCTTTAGGAGAAGAAATTCTCGATTTGGAATGAGGAGCGAATGAACCAGTTTGGTCCACACCATTAAGTAATATTTGAATGAGCGTTGTCAAAAGGGCTAGGGGACAGTAGTTGCTTGGGCTGGCCCCAGTGACGGGGTTGGAGTATTGCTTCGCTTCAATGAAGGTTTTCCTTTGAAGATGGTGTTTATAATTACACAGATTTCTTGGAAAATAAAATGAGGTAAGCAAATGAGGGTGAAAGAACAATGGGGTGTTAGTGGTGAATGTGTTTGATTTGGGAAGAAATATTTTTGTAGGGGTTTGCAATTTGTTGTGTGGTTGGGGGAAAAAAAAAATAATAAAATGAAAAAAAAATTAAAACAAAAAAGAAAAAAATAAAAAAAAAAAAAAATAAAAAAATGAAAAACAAAAAAAAAATGTTTTTTGATGTTTTTTTTAATAAAAAATTTGAAATGGAAAAGTAATGGTGGGGGGATTGGGTTTTTGATTTTTGTATCCCCCCTATTTGGGTGGCATTTTTGGTTGTTGGATTTTGTTTTGGGTTTTGGGGATGTTTGTTGTTGTTGTGGGTTGGTTTGAAGTGATGGGTTGTGTCTGGATGAAAATTGATTATGATGGGATGGAAAAATGCATTGTGTTAAGTTTATGTTTTACAGTGGAAAAATGAAAAATGGTGTGGTTGAAAATTTTTGGTAGCTACAATGGTGAGATTCATTATTTTGGTAATTGAATGTTGATGTGGCATTTTTTTGAATTGAACTTATGTTTATTTTTTTGGAATTGTTGCATAAATGATGGAATAAAAATATTGGTGATAATTGGAATGTGGTGTTGTATTGGTGGGTGTGGTATGTTTTGAAAAATGGGTGGTTTTTGTGTTTGTTTTGTTGAAAAATGTAAAACAACCCAATAATTTGGAATTGTATGATGAGAGTTGGGTGTGAAATAATGGGTGGAAAAATTGATGATGTTGAAAAATTTGGTTAATTTTAAATGAGGGGAATATTGATTTATTGAGAAGGGTGTGGTTATGTGAAAATTTTATGTAATAAACAATGGTATATGGGACGATTGATGGAAAATGAGAACGTGTTGGGAGGGGGAAAATAAGGAAGGAAAGCACAAAAGAGAAGGAAAAGAGAGAGCAGGAGAAGAGGGGTGAAGGGGGGGGGGAGGGGGGAGTGATGAAACAAAGGAAGAAGAAGGGGGGGAAAAAGAAGGGGAAAGAAGAGGAGGGAGAAAGGAGGAAAGGGAGAGAAAAATAACAAGAGAGGAAGGGGAGGGGAATAAAGGATCCATGCGGAACTTACACTCAAGTTTAGCAAGGGGAAAGGAAGTCCAATTTCTTGAAATTTTTCAGAGTAGATTTGTTTCTACTGCGTTACTCCTAAGACGTTGCATTTTATACCTTCGTACCAATATAGCCCAAAAATTACTTTTGGGCACACAACTTTCCAAAAATGATTTCGCTCATAGGGATTATTTGATTCCATTGAATCATTATTGTGCATGGGATTTTGGTTCTGAAGCATGGAACACCTGTGTCGTTCAGAAAGTTGAAAAGATGTGACAGAGTCATTTGTAGATAAACTCCATTGCTGCTGTGAATGAAGAGAAAAGAAGGCCTTTCAGTATTACGTACTCTACAGGATTCTCTTAGTGACTTGACCTTCCAAATTTTAGGACGAAGACTCTCTAATGAAATTCTGTTTTCAAAGAGCTTCCTTAGTTTTTTGTACTGCGTCGAGTTAATATAAGCTGCATAGAGTAGCAATGGAGCCCACTGACCATGTTGTAATGATGAAGCTGCACAATTGAAAGAGTGTGAATCAACAATACCCTGCAACTTCAGGTGTTGAAGCATGCTGTTCTTGTTGGTGATGAATGTCAGTTACCAGCTACGGTGAATAGCAATGTACGTTGATGTACATGGTCATACATGTATATATATATAGATATATATATATATCTCCTTTGTTTCTCTTATTGCAATTTTTCATTCCACTTCTTATTCCTTTGCGTTTATACCTAACTTGTTTCTTCCACAGGTTTCTGTTAGGGCGGTTTTCAAGAAGCTTGTTTGAGAGGGTGAGCTCAATGGGCCACTCTAAACACCTTCTGATATGCAATACAGAATGCATCCCTCAATAAGTTGGTTCCCAAATTCAAATTTCTATAACAACCAGATCCTGAGCTAAATGTTAAAAAAGAAGCCATGAGAAACACTATCTCCCAGGGGCAATGTTTGGCCCTTTCTTTTAAAAATGTAGTGGTGGAAGAGAGGAGAAGGATGAGGATGGACGTAGTAGAAAGAATATGGTCGAGGTTGCTATATTCTGAAAATACTGCAGAAGCTGTACAAAGGTATGTAATATGTCTAGCTGCTGAGTCATGTTATGTTCTAATTCAATGTTTCAAGAGATTTGATTTCATATGTGTAAGAAAAAATGTGGGGTCGAATAGAAAAATACTACTATTTTCTGATTGTGTAAAGCTTGATTGAACTGTAAGAAATGTTAAAAATCTTGTAATGTTTTCTGCATAAATTTTTGGTGGGTCTGGAACATTTACAGTGTCAAAGCTATATTGCAATTGCTTTTTTTTTTTTTTTTTTGTAGTGGTTAATAATGAAAATTTTTTTGTTATACAGAATGGATTGTTTTCAAAACAGAAACTCAGTATTGGGGTGGTATCACAGTATGATGCTCAAGTAGTTGCAGTTCAGGACAAACTTCCACAGAATTATGACAAGATGGAGGGCTTTACAGTGAAGGTGAAGCGGTTGATGGGTTCCAGGGTGGGGAAGATGACATAATTATTGTGTCCCACTGTACGATCTACCATTCGTCAATCCATTGATTTTATATCAAAAACCACAAAGAGTTAATGTGCTCTTACAAGGGCTAGGTATGGTTTTATGTAAACTGTATTCTTTTGCATCATGTTGAAAGTTTGGTGAAAATAATACTACTCTTCCCTAATGACTTTAGGCATTGCCTTTGGATTCTGGGAATGAAAGGACTCTATCTTGATGGGGAATCTGTTTGGAAGGACTTGGTCCTTGATGCCAAACGTCGTCAGTGCTTCTTTAATGCTGATGAAGACAAGGATTTGGCTGAGTTCGACCAATTGGATGATGTGCGTAATTCTAACAGCATGTGTTTAGAAGTTCTAGATGGAAGGTAATCTGTATGTAGTTATTTATGATTTTTTTTTCTATTTCTTCCGAACTTCCTTCATATTTTCAATATTTGATATGATGTTGGACTTTCTATTAAATACATTACATAGCTTTTTATTTCATTTTATAATTTTTTCTTCCCCCCAATACATTATTTTTAGGTACTTTCAGTGATAACTTTTGAAGTCATTCAAAAAGCTGAAGTCAACCCGTTTGAAAGAAGTTGTATTATATTCTGCTGAAGTCTTTCCGTGGTTGGAGATCTAGAGAAAGCCAATGTTTGTGGAATCTTCACCAATCTTGAGGCAATATAAGGTTGAAGGCTATACATTGTTTTGCACAAATTGACATTGCAAAGGATGTGAAATACATTCAAATATTGAAGTTGGGACATATTGCCTCTAAGGGAATTCCAAAATGGTTAAAAGTCTAGAGAATATTTTGAAAAGATATACAGATGATTTTAATCAATCGGTGCAAGGAGAAATTAATTGAGGGTATGTTGTTGCATTCTCGTGTATTTTTTGAAACATACTATATAATATGGATTGATCCTTTTGGATATAAAGGTATAAATATTCTTCATGTTTTGAAATTCTAAACTCATTTTATCTTTGTCTTGGGACCAGTAAGTTGGAAGTTCCACAAGAGTCGGCCACCCTCTTGCCACTCCCTGTCCGGTTTCCACGGATCTAGCACCTACACTGAAAACCAGAGTGATTATTGGTATAATGATTCGGAGGTAAAGTTTATGTTGAGAAAGCACAGGTCGCGAGAGTTTGCGCTCTTTATTTTACTCCTTGTCATCTGGTGTAGTAAACCACTTGCTTTCTGACCATGAGGGTAGAGAGTTGGATCTTCCATTCGAACTTGCAGACCAGGAAATGGAGATTGTTCTTTATCGTAAAAGTAGCTTTATAGTTGGACGGTCAGGAACAGGTAAGACCACGGTTTTAACCATGAAATTGTTTCAGAATGAACAACGTTACCAATTGGCAGTGCAAGGATGCGTTAGTTGTCAAAATAGCATGGTTGAGCAGAGTACTTCAGCTACTAAGGGAACTCTACACCAATTTTTTGTGACCGTGAGTCCTAAACTGTGTTTTGCCATCAAGCAACATGTTTTAAACTTAAAAAGGTACGTGAAATATTCAACAAAAAGATACTGCAATTTTATTTTTTTTTGTTCGGTTGCAGGGTATTCGATTGTGAATCATGATACAATATTATTCTTGAAGGATACATTTGGAATCTTTTTTTCTGTTGCTCAAGCAAAATTTTCTTTCTTGTTCCACAAGTTGCTACCTTTCGTATGCTTGCAGTTTTGCATGTGGTGGAAGTGATTCAACTGAAAAGATTTTGATTGATATGGCTGATTTTGATGAGGGGGAAGCCCAATTCAAGGATATCAAGGATTCATTTCATGATATTCCTCCCAATTCTTACCCTCTTGTCATAACATTCCATAAGTTCTTGATGATGCTTGATGGAACACTGGGGAACTCATACTTTGAAAGATTCCTTGATGCAACAAAACTTACACATGGTCGATTGCAAAGTTCAAGATCAGTTGCTTTGCAGACCTTTATAAGGACAAAGGAGGTGAAGTATGAGAGATTCAGTTCATCTTACTGGCCCCATTTTAATATCCAGTTAACAAAGAAGCTCGATGCTTCAAGAGTCTTTACAGAGATAATATCTCATATTAAAGGTGGTTTGGAAGCTATGGAAGCAGGTGATGGTAAACTCAATCGCGAGGATTATGTTCGACTGTCAGAGAGCCGGGGTTCCAATTTAAGCAAGCAAAAGAGAGAAGCAATATACGATATATTTCAGGCTTATGAAAAAATGAAGATGAAAAATGGTGAATTTGATCTGGCTGATTTTGTAATTGATCTTCACCATCGTCTTAGGCATGAAAAATATGGGGGTGATCAAATGGACTTTGTTTATATCGATGAGGTTCAAGATCTCACATTGAGTCAAATTGCTCTGTTTAAACATATGTGCATCAATATTAAAGAGGGATTTATTTTTCTGGTGATACAGCACAAACAATTGCAAGGGGTATTGATTTTAGGTTCCAAGATATACGACATTTGTTCCACAAGAAGTTTGTGTTGGAATCAAGAAGCAATAAGCTTGAAGAAAGAAAAGAAAAGGGACAAATTTCAAAAATGTTTCATTTGACTCAAAATTTCCGTACCCATGCTGGTATAGTAAAGTTATCACAGAGCATTATTGAACTCATTTATCGGTTTTTTCCTCACTCTATTGATGTTTTAGACCCTGAAACCAGTCTTATTTATGGGGAAGCTCCAATTTTGCTTGAATCTGGAGAAAATGAGAATGCAATCATAAAAATATTTGGAAATAGTGGAACTGGTATTGGAAATATAGTTGGCTTCGGTGCAGAGCAGGTTATTTTGGTGCGAGATGATGGTGCTAAGAAAGAAGTTTCCATGTTTGTTGGGAGGCATGCTCTGTCCTCACCATTGTGGAGTGCAAGGGCCTGAGTTCCAGGTGATTACAATATTTATTTACTTATTTCTTTGTTTTTTTTTAAGCCTTAAGAGTTAGAGAAGCTATTATCACACAGTAGCATGATCTGATATTTTCTCCTTTTCCCTTGCAAATTTTTTTTTTTGTAGCTTTTTTTTTTTACTACTTTTTTTTTTTTTTTTTTTTTTTTTATATTATACATTCAGTCCATTAAATGTTTACTATATTTTTAAAGTTTTGATTTCTATCCATTCGTAACATTCATGTCCCTTTTATAGGATGTACTCTTGTACAACTTTTTTGGCTCATCACCACTGAAAAACCAATGGAGAGTCATATATGATTACATGAAGGAACGAGATTTACTTGACTCGACATTACCAAAGTGCTTTCCAAGTTTCAATGAATCTAAGCACAACATCCTATGCTCTGAATTGAAGCAATTATATGTTGCTGTTACTCGTACGAGACAGAGATTGTGGGTTTGTGAGAGTGTAGAAGAGCTCTCCAAACCGATGTTCGACTATTGGAAGAAGAAATGTCTTGTACAAGTTAGGCAACTGGATGATTCACTTGCACAGGAGATGCAAGTTGCAAGCAGGCCAGAGGAGTGGAAATCACGGGGAATTAAGGTTTGCATAATTTTCTCCTTGTAACAATTAAGATGTAGTGATGATGAAAAGAAGCGATAAAAATTGAAGCATTTGTTGTAGTATTGCTTAATTCATATTATTTTTATCTTGCATTACAAGCATCATACTGTTACTTGCAGCTTTATCACGAACATAGCTATGAAATGGCCACAATGTGCTTTGAGAGAGCTGGTGATACTTATTGGGAAAAAAGGTCCAAAGCTACTGGCCTTAAAGCTATCGCTGACCGTATGCGAACTTCAAATCCTGAAGAGGCCAACTCCATTCTTAGGGAAGCTGCTGAAATATTTGATGCTATAGGCAAGGCAGATTCCGCTGCCATATGCTTTTCTGATTTAGGCGAATATGAAAGAGCAGGCATGACTACTTATCAACATCTATTATCTTTAGCCCATATTTCTTGTCTCAAGTACAAGATTTTATTTCACCATCATTTACCATCTTGCACCCCTGCCTGTAATACTGTGTACTTCCACTTAATGTCAAAACCTCTGAACTTTATTGGTACAGCTAGGATTTATTTGGACAAATATGGCGTGCCTGATCTGGAAAGAGCCGGAGAATGTTTTTCTCTAGCAGGATGCTATAAAGATTCTGCGGATGTGTATGCCAGGGGCAATTTTTTCTCTGAGTGTCTCACTGCTTGTGCCAAAGGAAAACTGTTTGAAATGGGTTTGCAATACATCAAGTATTGGAAAAAGCATGCAATAAAGGACTGTGTTGTGGCTAGAAGAGGTGAAGAAATGGATGAAATTGAACAAGAATATCTGGAGAGCTGCGCATCCCACTATTATGAGTTGACAGATCACAGATCCATGATGAACTTTGTTAAAGAGTTTCATTCTATTATTTTGATGCGGAACTTTTTGAAGAAGTTGGGTCTCCTTGATGAGCTTCTTTTGTTGGAAGAAGAATTTGGAAACTATCTTGAAGCTGCGGAAATTGCAAAGATGAAAGGCGATATTCTACTTGAAGCTGATTTCCTTGGAAAGGCAGGCAAGTTCAGAGAAGCGTCATCACACATTCTACTCTATGTGTTTGCAAACTCTCTTTGGTCATATGGCGGAAAGGGCTGGCCCATACAACAGTTTTCACAAAAGGAGGAGCTTTTATCAAAAGCCAAGTCATTTGCTAAGAAGGAAACAGAAAGCTTTTATGAGCTTGTTTGCACTGAGATTGACATTTTGTTAAATGAGCAGAGTAACTTGGCTTTGATAAAAAATTATATGAATGTTTGTCAGAGGCATAAGAGAGTTGAATTACTATCTGCTCGAAAAATATTGGATGCTCATATTTCTTCATCCGCCGATAAATACGTGTGGGAAAAGGATTTGGTTGATGGTAATCTGATAATGTGTTCAGAAGGCAGAATATCTGAAAATCAGGTATCTATAGATTCACTGATATATTTCTGGATTTTTTGGAAGGATAAAATTGCTTTCATAATCAAATATCTTGGATGCCTTGAAAACCGAGATGTTAATGATTATAGAAGGTACAAAGAGCTTTGTGTGGATTACTTGGGAGTGTGGAGGTTGTATCATAATCTTGCTCCAGTCTATGTTTTACTCGTCTCTGATGCTGATTGGGTTCGAGGTCTGGACGAAAGACATTTTAGAAATCATGGGAAGTTGGTCTCCATTAATGTTCACCAGCTTGTCTCAGCTGCTTGTAGTTATTGGAGTTCAGAAATGCTTTCTGTTGGCATGGAAGTTTTGGAGAAGCTTGAAAATCTTTACAAGTTTCCAATAAAAAATGTTGATGATGCAGTGTTCTGCCAAAGCAGGTGTCTTACCCATATTTGTGAGATCTCAGAATATCTTTTGCAATCAAAATGTTTGAAGCTAAGGAATCAAGATGCCGAGAGATTGCAGAGATATGTAAAGCTTTCTACTGATACTGTTGTTGCGAATATATTTCCTTTGGATTGGAGGAATTCATTGAGGGAGAATATGATTGCTCTTAGAAGAACTGATGCTTTAAAGAATGCGCTGAAACAAGTAACAGTCGAGTATACCAGCTCAGAGAAGGTGTTGTCTTTGGGGCAGATTGGAAGGCTTGCAATGGTTATTCTCGGGTCCGGTAAGCTGAATAATAGTGAACTATACGAGAAGCTTGTGGTAAAACTGGACTGCCACCCGCCATGGAAAGCTTTCATTGAGAATCTCTGTGGGAATATTAGGCCTGGAAACACCAGTGAAGAACCGAGAGAGGTGTCTATAATGTTGAAGTTGTATGGAGCTTTAGTTGATACTTATAATGCGAACTGGAGGGTGGTTCGTGATTACATATCACCTGGTTGCTTTTTGTACCTTGTAGAGCGCCTTCTGATTTGGGCAACTTGCTTTCAGGGTTATGCTATCACTACAAGTTCTTGCTTTGTTGAGTGGCTCATATACCAAGAGGAAGATACCAACGTAAGTTCCATGGTTGGTGTTGGTGATGCGCTACCATCTTTAATTGACATCTCTCATTTTGTGATTTATGTGGTTCGGGAGTGTGTTTTTAATAAGGCGGATATGGTTGAATGGATTAAAAAGACCAACACAGATTGGAACAACTATCATTCTCAACTCATGTTGCGATTTGTTGTCATGTTATGCTTGGTTTATTTGAATTTTGGCATGGGTCTAAATGAACTCTATGATTTGCTGGGAAGGGACTATATCACTGAGCAGCTGCCGTGGGAATTTTATGACGCCCTTAAGAGACAGAGGAGACACAAAACTCTTAATATAAATGTGAAGCTGCTAGCTGCAGCTTTTCAGAAGATTGGTAATACTTTGGTAATTGCAAGTTTCGGGTCAGATTGTTCAAGGTTCTTATGTTCAGATGTCATCTTTGTTGACATGAAGGCCAACCATTCCAGGGATGACATACTGAGAAAATTGATTCCTAAACAACCACCTGTCCTACAAGTTTCCCAAGCTACATCTGTTGAAGGAGGAGGTGATAATTCATGTCATCTTAGTTGACATCCAACTCTGGTGCGGTGGAACCTTCAGAGACTGGTGCTGCATCTGATAAGACGAGTGATGATGTCGTCGGTGGCAGAGACAACCACAATACAGGTGAGGAAAGTTGCATATCCAAAGAGTCAATTCCAAAGCCTAAGCAAGCAGTGGATGTGGCTTCTGGATCCCAATGTGGCAGTAATGAAACTGGAAACAAGGGGAAGAAAAAGGGCAAGAACAAGAAACCCAAGAAGAAAGGAGGCAAAAAGTAGCCATCACATGTTAATATATTATAATTATATATGTGCTACGTGAATGAATCTTGTTATGTATGAACATATTATAATTATATATTTGCTACGTGAATGAATCTTGTTATGTATGAACTTGATGTTGTGATGCCACATTATGTTAGTGATGATTCCTGGATTATACATGGGCTTAATGCAGAGCCAGGTACGAATCACATTTAAGGATCTTCAAATCTCAATATAGTTGTATATCTGACGTGTCTTATTTTAAGATCAGATTCAATGAAATACATAAAATGTCACCAATTAACCAACCAAGAAAGATTATTGTGTCTCTATATGACAGTTCCTAATTAAGTGTAGTAAAATCCAATTAAATCGAGTGAGCTAGACATGATAAGATAATTTCAATTAAATTGAGCTAGTGTCATATCTCATATTTGGTGCTGATATTGGACTCGTACCGATGAGAGAGGAAGAGGAACAGATCAATTGGTGGGGCTGAATCAAAAGCCCTTTGAAGCCTTCAAATCTGACGAAACCTAGCCCAATCTATCAAATTAAACCAATGGACCTTAGACTAAACAAGCTCTTTAGAAGACTTCAAACCAGCTTGTTCTTTCTTTGTTTTTTATTTTATTTTTAGAACAAGCGGAATGATATTATTAAAGAAATGAAAACAAAACAAACACAGATTCGGGCCAAGAGAATTAGGTGAGTATCTCCACACATGAGAATTTGATAGCAAAATTAACCACGTAACATACCCTATAATACCACTTGGTTATTCTATCTAGCATCCTTAGATACAGTGGCAGATCTAGGATTTGATAGTCGGCTGGGCGAAACTTACTAATGCGTCTTTATACAGAAATAAAAGTTTAACAAAAATAAAAATCATAAGTAAATGTAATGCAATATAAAACAATACTATTTAAATCTAAAATTTACCCTATAAAAAGCTTAGAAGTCTTAAAAATTCTTCAATTATCACTGCATTATTGTTATTATTAGCAAATTCTCTTCCATATATGTTAAGCACATATGCACCTTTTCTTTTTAATGAAAAATCTCAGCCGGACGGCCGCCTAGCCAAAAATCAGTGAACCAGAGAGATTGATTGGTTTATGATCTACACCTAATTCCAACTATTGATTCTTTCAATACTTCCACAATTGATTATTATGCTTATGGTCATAAGTGGATAATAATTTGTTTATTTTTTAATTAAAAAAAGAACCAAGGTTTTGCTGCCTCTTGTGATTAAACATATCCTCAAATGTTGAAAACATTAAACAAGTGCATAATAGGGGAGAATCTCATAGGGTGGCTCACCACCATGTAGGAATCCGAACAACAAGAGACTCTCTGAGCAATCTATCATTGCACTCACATGGCCTTCATTAATCATTCTTTCTAGTTAATGTTTCTTTTTTCCTCTTAGGATTAAAATTAGTATTTTTCTTCCGGCGGACAGTTACGTTCCTTAGTTTGTAGTTTAGACTCCAGACAAAGCATCTCGCAGTGTTGCTGTCCGGGTTTAAGGGAAGCTAATTATTAACTAACTTATGCTTTTCTTCTTTCTCTTTCTTTTTTAGTGTGGAGGAGCTAAGTACATAAATCATGCAGTTGAATCTGAACACAAATAAAAATGAGAATTGGAGTAGTTCATGTCTAAAACCTAGCTAGGTTATGGAGCAGTCGGTGAGCATAAAAAAATATATATCTGATTGCAGATATGAAATGTGGTGGTTGTCTCTCCCCTGTCCTTTGTTGGTTCAAAGTGACTTGATCTGCAGAGCTTTTTACATGGATGGGATGCACGCAGTTAAGCTGTCAATTTGTGCAGTGGACAGCAAAACTAAGATCACGCAACTTATATATATCGTACCACGATGACCTAGTTAGCTTAGCTTTTAGATGCTGGCCACCCAACAGCAACAAAGAAACTGTCCTGCTTAATTAATTGGTACTGACTTGACTTGGCACCTTTTCATTTTCACGAGAGAGAGAGGGAGGACTTGGCATGCGCCCAACCCAAGTTCCAAATTACCTTATGGCCATGGTTGATGATAATGTAAACAATTGGTTAAAATAAAAAAGAAAAAAAAGCTAAAAAAAAGTAGAAATGACAGAAAGATATAGTGAACAAATAAAATCAAATCTGGCGTGTTAAGGAGTTGTCCCGTCTCGATTAGATTGATTAGTAAAAAGTGTCCCACTTCCTTCCTAATTTTGGGAAAAAAAATGAAAGTAACAAAGTGCACTCCTCAGAGTAGAGATGTACCGAGTTACTACTGCATGCGTGCGGTGGGTCTGAGTAGCTAGCTATTGATCAGCTGTAATTGCTCAACAAATCTGCCAAAATAGGCTAAAGCCACCCCTCTCTCCTTGTACGAGGCTATGATCAGCGGTGGGTCTTCATGTACGTACATGACAGCTATATTCATACCTTCCCCAATTCAACTGATTAATACTATATCTTTATCATTGTTAGTACCAAGTTTATAGGTGGACTGGTTAAAATTTTTAACTTAAAATCTAATGATTTATTAAAAACAAAAACAAAAAGCAAAAGTGTAACTTACACGTTTATGATCTACAGGTGGATGTCATCCATTGGTTTAAAATAACAGGAAAAAAAATATTAAAAAAGCCTTCAAGAAGCACATATGGTAGGCCGTATAGGTTTTTTTTTTCCTTCAATAAAAACTGGCCAGAAGGAAGCAGTTGTTGTTGTTGGCCAATATAGATATAGGTTTTTCCTTCAAAAGTTACCAGCTACAGCCCACCTTAACCTTAGTCGTGGTTGTGGTTCTACCTATGGTTAGTACTACAGAGCCTTTAACTGTAATAGTCCTTAAATTTACACTCGAGTTTTTTATATTTAGTCTTTTAACTTTTCCATTTAAACACGGGTTAGGAAACCAAAATAGAAGTCGAGTGTAAATTCAGAAATTGATAATGAAGTTAAAAACTCCAGTACTATATTATGATCGATCGATAAGTAATATTACGTGCTAGTGTTGCAGTTACACCTAAGAATTTATTTTGTGATAAGTCCCGTACATGCATTTTTAGTAAGAAAAATAATGAGGAAACAACATTTGTTACTAGGAAGAGTGCATATAGTGCATATAGAAGCGTGAAGACACGTGGACCTTAAAATTAGGAAAGCCAAACAAGAAGACGTCCAGCAAGACCCAACAGGGCAGCGGCAAGGCATCCATAAATAAATGGATTTTCAGCCGTTTTATGAACCATGTCCCGTTCAACTTAACTTCCGAACTAAAAAGTCAGCCAATTCAGCACTTGAAATAATTAAAACAACGGATTTAACCCTTACTATTAAATTTTTTGAATTGCATATATTTTTTCGTACAAACAGTCACTTGTCCTTCACATGATTTTCTATTTGATTTTAATATTATTATTATTAAAAACTAAAAATATTTAAAAATGGAAAAAAGGGGGGAAATGGTTCGCACAGAGCACATTAAGCCATTTCCCTTATCTCCCACCTTGAGGAGGTGGCTGCCAACAAGTTTGAATTTGGGCATGTTTCTCAAAGGTGAACTCTTGCTCTTGTATTTGGGCATGTTTTTCACACCCTGGTATTCCAGTTTTCGTTATAAAAAATAAAAATATATATTAAAAAAGCTTATTGCCTTGTTCATGGCTCAAATTCCAAAACCCTAGAAGCTAAACGTGACGTCATCGGCCAAGAACAATTAGACCCAGAAGCACCCACTTCATGATTCAAACTAATTTGGTTTGAGGAAGGCTCGGTTGGGGGGCTTGGAGGCCCGCGACGAATCCAATCTCTGGTTGAATTTTTGGCTACATAGGTTCGGGTGTTGATGATGATGATGAAGCCATGGTGTTGTCTACGGGGTTTGAGTTGTGGTTATTGTGTTTCTTAAACGGAATTTTGGTGAGGAAGAAGGGAAGAGAGGGGGTGGTGGGTGGGTTTGGGTGGGTATGGTGGCAAGGGAAGGTGAGGATAGTGGGTGGGGGTGGCTGTGTTCCCTTTTGTTTCATTTTTCTATTTTAACTTTGACTTTTTGGACAGGTGAAATTCAAAAAATCAAACGGCGAGGCCTAAATCGGCTGTTTAAATACATTCAGGTGTTTAATTGGCTGACTTTTTAATTTGGGGCATTAAGTTCCATTGGGGTCCTAGTTCGGGGGTGTACGGCAATTTATTGTAAATAAATTTCTATACTGATTCTCCCGTATGAATTTTCTATACAATAATTTTGTTATATATTTTCTTTGACTTTCTATCATTATCTTACTCCATTTAGTCCTTTCGTTTTTAATTTTCTTGCACTTCCTTTACTTTTACATTGCCTACAAATATTGTTGATGGTGAGCTAAGAATTCTTAAAGTTAAAAGCTATGACATTATCTTTTATCATTATACTTTGACGAATTTATACATTAATATATCTGATATGTCCTGTTTTATTTTAAAGGTTAGCTAAAGCTCTCATTCTCCTTGATGGACCAATCATAACATCATATTTGATGAAATACATAAAATGTGACCAATTAACCATGAAGATTATTACATCTCTATATGATAATAGTTCCTAATTAAGTATAGTAAAACATCACGTGACATGCGGATGTGATCTTAAAATATATCTAACACAAATTATAGGACTTATAATACATTTATTACCAATTGTTCAAGTATTATTATTTGGATGAGAATTGTAATATATTATGTTGGGTTGTCATTTGCTGTTATTGACACACCAAAAATAATCTTCAACAAATAAAGATAGCATATGAAATTTAGTTTCTTTAACTGCATTGAAGAAGTTGAGTATAAGAATGTAGTTTCGTATATAGTAACAAAGTCACATGAGAATTTAAGATTATCTTCAACACACCATGCCTATTACCGTAGCATTTATGTCCCGTACAAATATGAGATGGTCAATTTATCTACTACCTCAACGAGAAATTATAGACTACTATGATCATGTGTTCCATCATCTCTCTACTTCAATATGATGTGGTGCAACCGCATAGGAGAATCATATATAAACCTGAACCAAGCAATGCCTTTTAAAATTAAAAAATAATTAAAGGACAGTGCTACTTGATTAACGTATAAAGACCATCTAAGCGTGTCAAAGAATAAATGTTATTTTACTAAGTTATTCAAGTGAAGCTTCCCTGATAAACTCTTTTAAGAATTAAGAGGCCAATGTACCCTCTACATCTGGAAATTAATATGAGAAAAAAAAATGTGTACACCTTGCAGGCATCAAAGGTGAACAGACTCCGTTTTTATGTCTTTGTCTTTGTATATTTTATTGGCTTTTCAAACAGCCATTAAAGACATTTACTATTATCACAACCATTAATTTTATATTCATTAGAGGCCAACTGGGTTATGAGCAACATTGCCTCTCTCTCTCTCTCTCTCTCTCTCTCTCTCTCTCTCTCTCTCAACTAATAAATCCTTATTTTTATGAAGATTTATTTTATTTTTTGACAATGCGATATTCTAAAGGGAGTTTCACTAAAACACCCAAAATGGGGGCTGAAATTATAAAAAAAACCAACACCCAAAACACTTTATAAACACACCCAAAATCCATCATTACACACACTCAAAACCCATTTATAAACACATCCAAAAAATATACAATTGTTGATTTTGGGATTGATTTTGAGTGTGTTTCTATGTTTAAATAGTGCTTGGGTTTTTTTATAAATACATGTCTACGATTGGGTTTATTTATAAATTTGTATATTCTATTCTAAATTATTACTCTAATGCAGAAAACTGAGGATAAAAACTCGTATGTGAGGAGGCAAACTCGAAGCAAATATCATTCATTGATCAACTGACCTAACACACATTTGTCTTGATAAAAATTAATTAAGGGTCAACGAAAATTCATAACTTACCGAAGATTAAATTTGTTGTTCTGTCTAGCTAAGAATGAAAGGTTTTTTAAAAAAAATTTCTCTTGTGATTTCTAAATATAATATGCTAAAACCTAAATTTACTTATTAGGAAGTAATAATTAAACAAAATATATTCCGGTTTGAAATATATAACACATTATATGAGTTCTTTCTGCAAGTCACATAATTCATCGTGATTTGGCTGACCATACCAAATCTGGACCAACCCAGAACCCACCCAGCCACAGTTTCTATCAGCACTAACTAATCCGATCCGATCCGATTTTTTAATACATTTTTGTTTTGAGCATGAGAGATGGGCTCTTTTGTAATTTTGTAGCGGTGAATGATAGGCAGAACCGATTAGCGGACACGTGTCCACGTGAACAGAGAGTTCACGTTTTCCATTACATCACTAATAAGTAGGGATATCATTTTTCGGTTTGTCTATTATGGCCACTTAACTGCCATTATGATTGTCGCCACGTAATCAGGTAAACAGAATCCTGATTGCATTCTCTACAAAGGAAACGGTTACAGCGACTCCCACCTGGACGCGTGTCTAATAATATCTAAAACTACGTTTCTCATCCACAAAACGGAAAACAACAGCGTGTTTCCGGTTGCAGCAGATTAGTTTCTCCCCGATTGCAGTAACAATTTAAACCGCGCACGTATCTCGAGGCGTATGAGAGAGAGAGAGAGAGAGAGAGAGTTTCTAATTTCCGTATGGTACCGAACCCCATTGGTCACCCTCAGGGCTCAGCTAAATTACCTAAAAAGTAACAGCCGTTTCGACAAGTCTATCCCAAAAAGTAAGGGTATATCCGTCAATTTAAGAAGAGACCAGCTCAACTCAAACTCAAAAGCCTTTATCTCTCTCCTCGCATTGCCAGCGTGGCGTCGAGACAGAGAGATAGTTACCAAACCCAGCAAGGCCCTCTACTCTGAGACCACACAACGGATTGGGATTTAACGGCGTTAAACAGTTTTAACGGCCACCTCCCCGTTTCTCTCTCGTGTTTGTAGTAGCCTGGTCTAGTCTGTCCTGGTTTTTATTTTTCTTCCGTTTGTCCGGAGGAGAGAGAGCCCAAACAAAATAAATAAATAAAGAAAAAAGCGGATCCCTCTCTCTCTTTCTTTCTCTGGCGAGGGCATGGAATCTCGCCGGAGAATTCCATAGATTCCGACGAGATAAAGCTTCGGTGGAGCTGGAAAGAGGAAGAGGGAGACCAAACGTGTAGCTTGTGAGCAAATTAAACCCAAAAAAAAGGAAGAAAAAGAAAAGAGAAGAGGAAGCAAGAGAATGAAGGCATAAAGAAAAAAAAAAAGAAGAAAAATGGTTAACGTGCAATGCAGGGAAAAAGAGCATCAAAGAAGCTTAAGAGGATCTTACACGGCACAGATGCCTAGATGATCCCTTCTCCAATCCCCTTGCCTTATGCCGTAATTTATTCGATTTTTTATAGTCTCTCCCTCCTCTTCCTCCTTGTTTTAAATTCCTCTCTCTCTCTCCCGTCTCTCCCATCTCTCTCTGTGTTTCTTTGTCTGGTCTGTCTTCGATATCATACTCCAATTGCGATTTCAACGTCTGTGTTTGGCTGTTCGTTCATCCTCTGACCGATTCCTTCTGCAGCTCAGCTCAGACTTTGATTTCGTATCAGCAAGTTCACAGGTAAGCTCCGGCGTTACCTCTTTACTGAATTTTGCCTTCAATTTTCGTCTGAGAAATTTTCCTTTTTAATACGGTTGGTTCAATTGCTGCTCGTGATCTTGCTGATCTTCGTGAGAATTGCTCGCAGATTTGCTACTAAATAAATTCTGTAATTGTTTATGATTTAGTAATTACGATAGAAATGCATTCCTATCATCTCTTGTATTAAATGATATTTTCATTTCTCAGAATTCGTCATAATTGAGCTACTTATGGTCGAGATCTTAAGCTCATTCCAGCTGTAGATTTTTTTTTCCCTTATAATTCTAGCTTATAGATTTCCGTATCTCCTTTTCTCCCCCTGAGCACCTAATTCTAGGAAGCATAATCAAAGTTGTCAAAGCATGTTATGATTTTTGGCGTGCGGCTCTTTTTAATGCTGGGAGAACAATTTTGAATAGGTTTAGACGTGGCCACGCGAGATGGAGAGCCTTTTCTGAAATAATTTTGGTTTGTGCAGCCTGAGTTTCGTCATGCCATCTGAGATAATGGACCTCAATAGTTTGTCCTCCTCGTCATTGTTCTCCGAGGATGTATCTTTTCCAAACGAGGTACCAATAATTGTGCATCCTTCTGTTCCCAGCTGCAGTTCAATCGATTGTCTATTACTGAATTCACTGTTTTATTATATTAATATAGACTTTTTACTTTTTCGGTTTATGTTGTTCTAGTGCATTCGTTATTGAGAATCTTAAGTTTCATCTTTCATTTTTATCTGTTAGCTAGTTCTCGTTGTACTTATTCTATGTGTTGAAATCTTTGGCAGAGGCAGGTTGGGTTTTGGAAGTCAGATAATACGCCCGATAATCATGGTCAGTACCATCAATCTATAACTGCTGTCTTATCGTTTTTTGTCTGTAAATAGTATTCGTTTGCAGTCTTACCATTTAATTCTTATCCAACTTGTCGTTAAACCACCGCCTTAGAGGGCATTAATGACTAACTCTGAGAATATTTTCTTTTTGGTAAAAACTCACTCTGACAATTTTGTTGAACTAAGATCATTGCAATTAATTCACGTGTGTGACAAAGTACCCAACAGTTGTAATTTTCTGTTCTTTTTCTGGTATCCAACCTGTCAAGAAGTTTCCCTTAACGTTTTTTATTATTTCCATTTTAGTCAAGATGTTTCTCTACTTGCGTTCATGCCGAAAATTAATTTTGTGCCATCAGCCCTAGTAAGCATCTTAGGTAACAGTAACTGGATTTACCTCGAGTTTCCAGAAGTTGTTCTCACCGTCCCTGAAAAGAGATGGTGATATGTGGTATTCATAGGGATTTCAGTGTTGGGGTCTGAATTTTGAGCCGGCAATATGAGCTGTGATGACCATGACTTGATGGTTTTGATCCACATGATGAAATGTATGATTACAGTGATAAAGATAAGGAGTGGAGGAATAAATGAGAGGATGATTGCAATAACAATTTTCCATTGAGCTAATTAATCATAAATCTGCCATGTTGAGTGAATTCTATCTGAGTTTCTGAGTGCGGTTAATTTAACCTTTTGCCTTTTCGAACTGTCTGTCTCCATGGGTCTCATTTTATGGAATTTTAGAAGAGTGTGTGTTTTTGTTCTTGTTAAAGCATTTATAAATTTTCATATTCATGCCTATAAATTAAAATAGGCTGCCAGGAGTTTGGAGTGGCCCCTCAGTGCTAAGTTCCACCAAAGCTAATAATGCATTTGTACTCCTAGTATGTAGGTGTCAAGTTCTATTGGTATAATTTATGGGTGATCACGATTAAGTCCTGAATCAATGCCATAACTCTATGAGTTAGAGCTTTCTGGCCCCTCTTTTGTACCTAATAAGGGCCGATTCTAATTTTGTGAACAGCCAGTAAGAAGTCACTTGCGTCATCATCTCTAGAGAAGTGTCAGACAGTGAAGTCTTTGGACCATCCCGAATTTTTCTTAATGCAAGACCAGAAAGTGCATCCCAGCTTCAATAGACAAGCAGTGGGAGCAGAGAGAGCCTTAAGTCATTCCTTGAGTTTATCGAGAACCATGAGCCATGATGTAGCGGCAAGATCAAATGTAAATGTTGAGACAGCATCTTATATTGGAGAAGTTGGTAAAGTCAATATGATGGGAGCTCAGTATGAGAGTAGCCTCTTCTCAAGTTCATTGTCAGAGCTATTTAGTAGGAAGTGTAAGTCTTCTCACTTCAGTCTCTCTTGTGTGCACATCTGTTTCCAGTGTCAACTAATATGCTTGAACTTTAAATGAAGTATCATTCAACTATCTTAATGAATATTGTGTTTGCCGCTGTAGTTTCTTTAATAGATTCAGTTTCATTGCTTATTTACAACGTGATTTTTGTTGAGTTTCTACTGTAGTGATATTATTGTCAAACAATATGGCCAGTCTGTTGATATCCACTATGTTCTAAGCTGTAGTTTCTTCGATTGATTCAGTTTTGTTGCTTATTTGCTTTTTGTTTTTTTTTTTTTTTTTTTTTTTTTTTTAAATTAAATTTTAATGCATGATAAGATTTGATGCATTCGAATCAATACACAATATATGGCCATTCTGTTGATACTGTTGCCTCCCACTATGATGAAGATGAAGCTTTTGAATCCCTTGAAGAAATTGAGGCCCAAACCATCGGAAACCTCCTCCCTAATGACGATGAATTACTTTCAGGAGTTACTGATGGGCTCGACTATAATGTCCAAATCAGTTCTGGGGATGATATGGAGGAGTTGGACCTTTTTAGCAGTGTTGGAGGGATGGATTTGGGAGATGACGGTTTGTCAGCTGCTCTAAAGGATTCTGAGTCTCCTGGAGGAGTTTCTAATGGTTCAATAGTTGGAGAACACCCTTATGGTGAACACCCTTCTCGGACATTGTTTGTGAGAAATATAAACAGTAACATTGAAGATTCTGAGTTGAGAACCCTGTTTGAGGTATGCTAGATGTTTTAGTTGTGGAATTTATATTCATTTTCAGTATTACATGTTGTTTGGGCATTGACTTTTGCAATTTCATAACTGGAATATGCAGCAATATGGAGATATCCGCACTCTTTACACAGCCTGCAAGCATCGTGGTTTTGTTATGATATCCTATTATGACATTAGAGCAGCCCGGAATGCAATGAAAGCATTGCAGAACAGACCATTGAGGCGCCGGAAGCTCGACATACATTACTCGATTCCAAAGGTTAGTTCCCACGATGTTATCCCTCTAGATGTTGATATAACTATGTTATTTTACTGTTATGATGGTTGCTTTGAGAATGTCAGTATTTTTTCATGACAATTGATTTTATATTGGTAATTTATACATCATTTTATGTCGTGCATGAACTTTTTATTTGACTTATTGTGTGGGTTCTCTTGTCAGGACAACCCTTCTGAGAAGGATGTTAATCAGGGAACTCTGGTGGTTTTCAACCTGGATTCTTCTGTTTCAAATGATGAATTACGCCAGGTTTTTGGTGTCTACGGAGAAGTCAAAGAGGTATACGTATTTGCCATTTCTTATAATTGTGCATGGCAAAAGCATTAGCTCTAATGCATTGTCATTCTTGAACCTGGATTGCAGATCCGTGAAACCCCAAACAGAAGTCATCACAAATTTATTGAATTTTATGATGTTAGAGCTGCAGACGCTGCTCTTAATGCGTTAAACAGGAGTGATATTGCTGGGAAGCAAATTAAGCTTGAGCCAAGCCGTCCTGGAGGTTCAAGACGAAGGTATGGTCCTAGAACAATAACTTTGCCTTCATTCCTTATATATTTATTTTATTTTTTTCTTTTTACTAAAGCCTTGTGTTGAAATGTCATTTAAGTTATGTCAGGAAAGCAACCAAATACTTTTTTACACACTTCTGTGAGAGAAATTTTTTCACTAATCTAGCATTGCTCAATATTATGTGCTGAACTGAGCTTTAGGTTTAGTTCCACTTTTGATATATTAATAATTTTCCTTTCGCTTGTATTTGTTTTTTTCACTGCAGCTTGGGGGTACAGTTATCTCCAGAGTTGTTAGAGAAAGATGAATGCGGCCTTTATTTGCAGCAGAGCAGCCCTCCTAACTGTGTCACCGGTTTTTCTGGTAAAGTGTTTGTCTTAAAAACCTCATGCTCATTGAATCTAGTTCAGAAGCACAGAAAATCCTTATTTGGTCTCATAAAGAGTTGTTAACAGGCCCAGTTCCGCATGGACCAGTTACATCCAGTTGCACAGATAATGGAACTATCATGGCTGTACACTCTGCAGTACAAGCTGCATCCCTTGAAAACATGTTCCACCATGGGATCTCTTCTAGTGTTCCTAACAGCTTATCTTCTGTGATGAGAGCTGAATCAGTTGGCAATCTGTCTGGCCCTACTGAGTCCACTCATTCACCAGGCTCGCTGAAATTTGACATCCATGGCACACCAGCCTTTCATCCTCATTCACTTCCGGAGTATCAGGATGGTTTAACTAATGCTGTCAACTGCAGTTCACCGGGCACTGTATCTGCAAGTATCAATGCCAGACCACAAGAAAGAATTGATAACAGGCACTTAACCAGAGTAAGCTCAAATGGGCTTTCAATTGAACTCAATGAAAGCGGTAAGTGAATGAATCACAGAGTACACACTTCTTTAATTTTCTTCAGTTTGATGTTTTTTTTTCTTTTTTTTTGGGGGTTTTGTTTTGTGGATATATATTTTCTTATTTTGATCATCTGTTTTTGCTATCTTCCCAGTTTTTGGCTCTACTGGTAATGTTAACTACCCTATTCCTGGACATCATTATGCATGGAACAATTCCTATCACCCTCAGGCTCCAGGAATGATATGGCCAAACTCACCATCATTTGTTAACGGCCTTTCTTCAGCTCATCCTATTTCTGCGGCCCATCCCTCAACGCGGGTTCATGGACTTCCTAGAGCACCATCTCATATGTTAAACCCAGCTTTAGCCATACATAACCATCATGTAGGGTCAGCACCAGTGGTTAATCCGTCTCTCTGGGACAGGCGACGTGCATATGCAGGGGAATCCCCTGAGGCATCTGGATTTCATCCTGGCTCTCTTGGGAATATGAGAATGTCAAATAACTCACCACATTCAATGGAATTTGTTTCTCATAACATGTTTCCCCATGTTGGCGGAAACAGCATGGACCTGCCAATTTCCCACAAAAATGTAGGACTCCAGACCCATCATCAGGGGTGCATGATGTTTCCTGGAAGATGCCAGATGATTCCCGTTATGAATTCATTTGATCCGCCTACTGAACGTGCACGAAGTCGTAGAAATGAAGGCAGTGTTAATCAGGCTGACAATAAGAAACAGTACGAACTTGATATTGACCGCATAATGCGAGGGGATGACAACCGAACAACACTTATGATAAAGAACATTCCTAACAAGTAAGTGGCCTGAATAGAAAGATAGTTCATATTTTTTAATGGCTCCTTCTATTACTTTCTTGGCACTTATGATTCTCGGATGAATGTGTTTGAATCGACAGGTATACTTCAAAGATGCTATTGTCTGCCATTGATGAACGCCATCGAGGAACTTATGATTTCATTTATCTGCCAATTGATTTTAAGGCAAGTGACATCCTGTTTGGATGATTTTCTTTGATATTGTTGAGAACTGAACATGGAAAGTAAATTTAATATCAAATTTGTTGCTGTCTCATGAACATGGTATTCATATCTGTTGCAGAACAAATGCAATGTGGGTTATGCATTCATCAATATGACTGATCCTAGGATGATCGTTCCATTTTACCAGGTTTGTTTTCTTTTCTATAAAGCTTTAAAAATATAAAAGGCATGTGCAAATTAAAGCTAAAAGAATTGTCTGATTTTTGCAGTCATTCAATGGGAAGAAATGGGAGAAGTTCAATAGTGAGAAGGTGGCATCACTTGCATATGCCCGCATTCAAGGAAAAGCTGCTCTGATTGCACATTTCCAGAATTCAAGCTTGATGAATGAGGATAAGCGATGCCGTCCCATTCTCTTCAATACCGATGGCCCAAATGCTGGTGATCAGGTATGCCGATGGTGACAGAACATGCACACTTGATTCAAATGGCAGTAAATGGTGCAACTTCTAAATTTAAAAATATATCCAAATAATAATGAGAATAATAGTTATTACTGTGACATAGAGAGATTACATGCTGACTGTTCTTGATCAACAGGTGCCCTTCCCAATGGGGGTTAATGTTCGCACAAGACCTGGTAAAGCTCGAACAACCACCCATGAGGAGAACCATGTTGGAAGCCCACCAAGTTTCGGAGACGGGGAGCATTCTTGCAATGGAGAGACAACTACAGGTTCTGCTAAGGAGTCAGACTAAGCGCCGCTTATTTTTTCGGGGCACTAACCTTATAGTACAGAAGATTCTAATTTGCTTCCACCCTGAATCTTTGGTGACGCATATTTAGGGTGGCGAAAGAGGGAAAGTCTCTTTCAGGGTTTCTTACAGACCTGTTTTAAACCTTAGAGGATGAATGCGTAGCCAACGCTAAGCGATTTTCCAGTTTTCTTTCACCATTTTTCTTTTAAATTCTGAAACGGTTAGGAGAAAAGACAAAAGACGAAAAGGAGCATCAGCTGGAGCTTCAAAATTTTGGATGGTCGTAGGAGTATTATTTTAAGAGGCAAAGAAAAAGTATTCTAGTGTATAGGAGTTTCTGAGCAGTGAAGAGATTCTACAAATGCTCTCTATGTTTTTTTTTCCCCATTTTGCAAATTTTCTTTACCGGTTATGTGTTATTTAGTTATTCGGAAGCCCATTTGTAACTATTAAGATATAAGAGTTTTTTTTAAAATATTTTTTTTTAAAAATAACTAAACTCATTATTCTTGTATTGTCGACCCCTTAATAATCCTCACTTGTGAATCCCATACTCCCCCTTTTTGCACCCGCGTAGTTTGCATGGATTCCATGGGATGAATATCTTCGCTATATTTTGATCAGAAAATGCGAGTCACAGTTGTTCATGTGTATTCAACCCCAAAAAATAAGTTCATGTATGCGTAAAACACGTCTTGTGTTATGTTCGCTTAATTTTTTTATTTTATGAAATTGATAAGAATGGGTATTAAAATCATTCTGATTCATGACTTTCCATGCATTCTTATCTTCGCTATTTTCATACATACGGAATCAAAAAATACATGAGTTTCATGATATAATCAGTAATTTAATATTTGAAAATTCAGGAATTAGATTAATTAGAGTAAGTAATTGATCTAATTTAATATTTAAAAAACCAGGAATTATATTCCTAAATTCCTATTCTAAGTTAACATGCTATTAGTTCTTGCAATGTGGGATCTACCCATAGCCAGCCACTCATATAAGCAACTGTGGCTAACGGCCCTGTGGACGGCAGCCGGTTATATCATGTGGTTCAGTTGCTTCATGTAAGTAGGTCTGATGTTTTGCAGTTTCTACTTCTTATTTATTTATAATTAAAATTGTTCTGCCGTTTGAAATAAGCATATCATTATGTGTAAAATGATCATTTTGGACACATTCACATAGGAGTGGCATTTTTGACCCAAAAACCGCAAAAACCAGCTGGCATTATACCGCATTGGAACCACAATAGTTAAAAACCGACCGAAAATTGCGGTTTTAGAAACCGAATTGCAATTGCAGTTGCGGTTGCGATATGTGATTTTGGCAACTTGCGGTTACATCAAACCGCAAATTTTTTATTATAAAAAAATTGCATTTTAGTAGTTAGATGTTGTGTTTTAATTTGGTTGAGTTTAATCTATTATTAATATGCTTTTATGTTGTTGCTTTTGTGGTGTTGTGTTATAGATGGAGTCTAGCCATATAACACACCTAATGTCTCTAATCCCCCAAACACAAACCGATACACCTGAAACACAACCTCTACTCCAACTCATAAAGAATGGCTTATTCTTATAATAAAATCCATTCACTGCCACCTACACTTGAGTTCTCCTTTTAGTTTATAACTTTAATTAACTTTGAATTGTATTTTTCTTTAGGTTGTGAATGCTTGAGAAGTTGAGGTTGAGGTTGTGAATTTATACATGCTTGAGAAGTTGAGGTTGTGAATTTATATTTTTTGGTTAAAGTATGCTTGAACTCAAAAAGCTTCAAAAGAAGCATCAAACCTAGGCTTAAAAGTGTGGAAGATTGAATTTTTATAACACAAAAGGACCACACTTAAATATATAAAATTGTCTAATTTAGGCCCAAAATATTCAAATCGGTTCAAACCGTTAATTCACGATAACCGACCGATTTTTGCGGTTTCAAAAATCACCTTACCGCAAATAATCAGTCGGTTTGCGATTTGCGGAAAAATTCGCGGTTACCAAACCGCAACCACCCCTACATTCACATGTATCATCAAAATTCACCAAAAACAAAGACCTTAAATTCCCTTAAAATGGTTAGGACATAAAGTGAACCCCCAAGTATGGGTATCTAAGTAAACATTCATTACAGAAGCAACAGTTACTTCTTTTCAAATTGCAATTTCTTATGGACGATGAAACACCAGATGACGTCCTGCTCATTTACAGTTAGCGCAGTCCTGAATTCATACTTCCAACTATCCCTTTTTCCTTTTTGTTTTTAAGTTCAATGCCATGTTTATGACCTCACTCAACGGCTTATAAGTACATTTAACATTTCAGAACAAAGTTACATTCTCCAACTAAAAGAGAGCTTTGGCCCTTACAGCTCTTTGCCAACACATTCATCTTGTCTCGATCACTAACCCGGACATTTCCAATTGCCTGTAGGTACATAAACAAAATCCCAAATTAACACCACCTCTTAATGGAAAACTGTACTCACAAAAACAGAAATAAACGTGTACATCTAAACAAAATGATTGCCACATAGCTTGTCACCAATTACAAAAGAGCACGTCATACAATCCAGGATGCCAACATTCTGATGAACATTGTAAAGCAGCTGGCATCTTGGTTTTGTAGGTTTCGAATAGGTCCAGTTTATAATTTTCCCCCCTTTTTTTAAAAGGCATAGCTTAAACTCTTAAAGCACATAAAAATATGTAAGATTCACTTACGGGAACAGGTGAAAGCATCACTTCGGGTAGAGAATATCGTAGTGACCTGGGCGATATAGCAAGGTAATAAAGGGACTAACTTTCTCAGAGCCCCCACTAGCATTTGGAAGATCACTTCCAGCAGGGACGAAATCATGATGATTCACACTAACACCACCAGTATCACACGAACTACGGTCAAGGTACACAACACGGATTGGCACGCCCAATGCATCTGACAAGGCAGTGATGTGCACATGGTCGCTTTCTTCACCCATTGGTTCCACTGATGACTTGCAAAACTATATTAAGACAAATCAATAAGAGAGAGGCAGATCAGATATTGGCATCATTGCTCTATAATCTTAAGCTCATAACAATGGAAATCTCAAATTGCTTCTCAGAATAAAACTATTTCTGTGATATTGACTTGCAACCACACAAGACTTAGTAATTTAATGCAGGGAACAAAATTAGCAGCACGCCCCAACATGGAGAATGTAGATAAGAAGTGAAGAGACCACCATTTTCTTGACAAGGTATATTGAAAATACATCAGTAATCTTATGCTAATATGATTTAATCATCTTCCCATTATTTCTAAAGAAGCAGTACCTTAATGGAATAATTTGGTCAACTACTGGAAAGAAGAAATAAAATCATGTGTATTGATAGATGGCTGAATAGTTTTTATTGAACAAACCTGCTCTACGGTTGCATTGGTCAATCCTAATATAAAAGGTTCAAAAAACTCTGCACGTTTCCGTATTTCACCAGAGGTAACAAATCTGAAAAACATCACAACTAACAAACCAAATGTGTCAGGTAATGGAAGGATAAAACAGCACACTAAGAACCATGTCATTTAATGTCACTCACCATAGTCGGATACTGACTGATCTCGGCTCCTAAGTATGAGCTCATCATGACTGTACAAAATAATAAATCATGTTTATTGCAGTTAAACACACAACTCAAAACTAGCATCAAACTGCACTTTGATTTTTAATTGCCAACACAAACCCAAAGTAAGGGAACTATCTGTACCTTATGGATGCTTCATTTCCTTGAAGAACACTGTCCAGCTGCTCAAGGAATAACTGAAAAATTCTCCACATCAATTAGGGATTAATACTTTTTTATTGGGCACGTGTGATCAAATTTTATGAACAGAGAAAAAGTCCAAATGGAACTAACTGGAACAATATGGTGACTGAAATACTTCTGTATGTGTCACATTGTGACAATGGCCTTATAAGAACAACTTTAAGCAAATCCTTGTGCCCTGAATTTATGTGAAAACCTCCTTATCCAACAAAAAACTATGCATTAGGAAGCACATATATCACTTCTTTCTAAAAATATGGATCATCTTTCTTCCCTGACCAATTTACACATGATAGGATGACCACCAGATTTTAGATAGGATAATCACCTCTCAATGCATGCATTCCTATGGTAGCTTTTGTAATGCAAGTAAGCATCAAATGATAAAACTGTGACCAACTTAATTATCAAATGATAAAACTGTGACCAACTTAATTATATGTTAATCAGCAATGATAGATTTACGTAATGCTGTGTCCATTGAAATCCTGTACATCAACAATATCTGAGCTGAAACTGCTCGAAAATGGGAAGAAAGAAGATGTGCATCCCTGTTCATATGCACTAAATGTATAAAACACATGGTACAGATTTATCAGCTATGACATCTAATCACCACCGAATTCCAATAGTTGATCATACATAAACCTTACTCATCTGTAAACTGTCAAGCCATGTTCAAACAAAAAGAGCTTACGAATAAAGCCGGTGGCTCTACTTAATATCAGATATCCCCTCGTAAAAATTAGAAGAAGAAATGAATGAACCAATTATACAGTGTAAAAGTGCAGATAAAAAATTTACCGCAAAGAAATCCTCAAAAGTAAAGTCTGCATAACCCAAGCTTTGAAGTGTTTTTCTACACTGTTCAACATTGGCCTTGATACGGTCAACTTCACTTTGATCTTGTGATTCCAAAATATGCTCCTATTCGGACAGCCCAAGAATTTGTTAGCAGCTAAAAGACTAGAATGCATACTTGCATCCAACAAGAAGCTAACATTGCAGGTAAACACCCAATATACAAAAATCAAAGCAGTTCCAAGGAGCATATACAAGGGCATACAAGATATGAAAACATAAAACTGCGGAAGAAGCAGTTCCCATCTCCCCGTGTTCGGCGAATGGCAGCATATTGTTCACCAAGAACCTGCATAAGGGGTAGTTACAATTTGTTCCATAAGAATCTAAAATTAGAAAGAATGAAAGAAAAAACAACACACAACAAATAGAGAACCTTTATTTTCTCCAACAAGATAGCGCTGCCTGATTGATATTCAGCTGCTAGGGACGAGAGTGGTTCCTGCAGATTTATCACAACAAAGGGTCAAAACCTGATAGCGTGATATTGAAAGAAACTAAAGGTTGATCTCTTGAGTTTCGAGTATTGCCTTGTCCCCCAGAAAGGGAATTTTCTCAGCCTCCTCAGCTCGAATTGCAGAGTGCTGCTGCATGATATCTTGGTCCCCAAAATTTGCCCACTCATCAAACTCAGGGGTCGGAACTGATGTTGCAGACTCCACTTCCCCATCCGCTTGGACCCCATCCTGATTCTGCATTGTCTTCTATTCACACAAACAGCAACAACACGCCAATTCAAACAAGGCTGTGCCCTAATTCCTCTATCACTTTAAATATGTACATTTCAATTTATTCATAATTGAACAGCCATAAATACCCAAACAAGAATGAATCTTTCTAGCATTTTGAAAATTTTGTCAGTCTAAATCTATTGATTCACAAGAAGAAGAAGTAAAAGAAAACAGGATGTTCATGATTTGTGGCTAAAACCCAATAATCTACTTGCAGACTTCAATTGAAACCAGCAGTAAAGAAGCAAAATTTAGCTAATATAAAGAAGATGACAACGTACATCTGTCGCACATACATACCTTAGGAAGGGAACAACGTCGTGTTGTCACTGGGTCTGGGATCGAATTGGAAGTGGAGTGGCTCACTCTCCACTGATTTTACAAAGATGAAGAACACTTGGGGGATTGATTGATTCCAAGAGGGAAAAAACGCCTCGCGGTGGAGTCCAGCGTGTGAGTGACCTTTTCTGTTTGGATGTCAGTTTTGTATTCGTTTCTGTTTTTTTTCTTCTTTAATTACCTTTTTCACGCATTCACTTCATTTTCATGCCCAAGTCTTCAATTCATCCGACGTGCTTAAAAATAAATTAAAGGCTTTAGTGTTATAGTGACTTGAAACATTGGTTAAATTTCACTTTATTCTGTTGAAATTAAAGTGACTCATTTTGTGTTATTGACCAGCGTTTGATGTTCCACATTACTCCTTACCGTCAATTCCTTCCAAAAGTCCGTTAAGTTTAATGACGTGGCGGGGTGTTTTAGTAATTTTGTGCATTTACATTATTTACTCATCAATTTGAATGAGTAATATGTCAAAGTGGAGCCTACCTCTAATAGGGATAAAAAATTATAATACAAAATAATTTTACAAAAAATAATTTTTTAAAAACACCTCTGCATATCCCTTCTCCTCTAGTCGCACAAAATCCACCCCTTCATTGTCAAACCCCCTTTTCTCCCTCATATCGACCAAACCCCATGTTAGACCCACTTAGTGTTGGGCCACTTCTCATCTGGCTCATAAGCTAGTTGGAGATTGTTCCTATCATTTTTAGACTGTTAGCCACAGAATAATCTTGTAATTCCCTTTATATTATTCCTTATAGTTGTTAAGATTTCATTAGGTGTGCTCACTCCCATGAGTGACCTAATGATTAGGGCAAGGCTGCCATTTTTCATTGTATTTAAGGATACTGACCTACCCTTATGGAGACAACTATGAAATGAACATTTAAATTTCTTTATCTTTTCCTCTGTTTGCTATGTTTTCTATATATCACCCATGTTTGGTCCTAGCAATTGGTACCAGAGCCAATCCTATGGGCTCACGCAAAGTTCCTTCCTCTTAACCGTCGGCTGTCGTAATCTCTCTTGACGTCCACCATGACTACCTCGAGATTGAAATCACAGATACCCAAGACATAGTCTCTTCCCTTTTGGGACATCAAGAAGTTACGCAGTCCTGTCTGATGACTATGTAGAAAACCATTGACTCCTTGGCTTTTTCCCAAACCTCTCTCCAAACTTCCTTCAATGCGCAAATCACCCAACTACAACAGAACTTCTTGGAAGAGCTTTGTCATCTTCATCCTCTCCCACCCCACTCCACTATAACCAATTCCACCACCTAATGTAACATCCCGTCCCAAAATTTAATTTAATTTTCAAAATTCTAAAGTGACAGGATGACTTTAACCTTAGGGTTCCTTGGTGGTTTAGAGTTGACTCTTTGTTCGGAGCTAGTTTCGGAAATTTTCTTGGTTCCATTGCATAGTGCTCGAACTCACAAGTTCGTAGACACGTGGTGGGCCTAAATCGGAGTTGAAACGAAGACGTTTTGGTCAACTAAAATGTAGTGGCACAACCTTAAATATTTCAAAAAAGGATTTTAAGTAGGACACAAATTAGCCCATGCGGAAGGCACTTTTCTCTCTATCTCTCTCTCTCGCTCTCTCTCTCTCACACCCAAAATCGGCGCACATCGCCTCTTTGACTTCCCAGCGGCACAACACCGATGTCCGGCCACCTCCTCCGATGATAAAGGTTGGAAAATGACCGCCACTGACCAACGACCACGTCTGGGCCAAGACCGCGCCACCCTAGGCCATCATGTCGTTACTGCAAGCTAAAAAAGAACTAAAGATTTCCATGGTTTCCCTCACCTTTTTTGGCGGTTGTTGACGTCGATCAGGTATGGATTTCGATCCTCTCCTCGTGCTCTTGCTGATTATGTAGGTGGTTAAGGTTGATTTTGTTGTATGAGAGATCAATTTGTAATCCCAAATGTGGCCGACGGTTTTCGCCCTAATTTACCTAGTTCCTGCCACATTTTGACTGGGGTCCAAGAACAAAAAATGCTCCCCTAGTTGTGCATGATCCATTGGTATAGCTATTGGCTGATGTTTTGGGGATTTTCGTCATTGAAAAATTACTCAAGACACCCACGTGCCACCGCCCCGCATGGGCCAGGTGTCAGAGGCCAATTTTGGCTCTAAAATTATCCCCACATAGTCCCGAGCACAACGGTATGCTCGGATGTGTGAGATTCCACTGTTTGATTGGCGAATCAGAATTTCTCCTATTATGTGAATTTTCGGTTTATTGTGATCGAACTGTTAGATTGGTTCCATTTCAAGTTATGTCATTCGTTCTATCATTAGGATCATGTAGGAACTCACGAATCAAAAATCGGACATTTGGATATTCTGAATTCTCGGGTTTTAACCATTGATCGTCACTCGACCGTGCAGTCGTTGATGATTTTACCATCGGATCATAACCAAACATTTAGGATGTAACTTGTGGATTGTTGTGGACCTATAGGAACTTTTAGATTGGAGATTAGAGGTCGTGGGCCCCATGGGCTTAATTGACCTAGATGGTGGGTTTTTCCAGCCCGATCGAGACCAATTGGTCAGAAGGTGTTTGTGATTTAGTGTCATGACTCAATTCGAGAATAAGGAATATTCCCGAACTAGGGTGTGAGTCATACCATAGTCATAAGAATAAAATCCTACAACCATGATATGATGAGAAATAGAGCCACAAATAATACAAATTTACTTAACAACACAGAATCAGAGTCGTAATAGCTCGTAGTTAAATACACACTAAGATCCTTATCAAACGGTTGACTACTTACAAATACTAATTATATAATTCAACAACAAAGTCCTAGTAGCTTGGTTGAAACCCGCTTCCTCAAACTTCACCTTGAATCCTGCATAATCTATTAGGATATGAGCATTCTAATGCCCAGTAGAGTACCGTTAAACTCCTCAAGGTCAGCTATCCTAATTAATCAAAAGTCGTGCATCAAACACAAGATATATAAATTATGCAACCAGACTAGATAAATTTGTATATATGGTGATGTCATAAATTCACTTCCTAAAATCCCACTAATTCATACCTTAGGGCAACAAGCCTGTATGTCCTATACCATGTGTTTTACCACTGTGGTCTGAATACCCTTGTTTGTACCATAGCTGACCCTACCACTCACGTCATGACACGTGGAAAGAGCATTAGTTAGGAAGCTTCTGACTCACCGACAGACCGGTCAAAGGTATGAATCGGTATATATGGTCGATCCATCACAAGGCACTCTTGTAACCCTAAGACGTAACAATCGACACTCTATGCCGATTGTACGAAAGGATCTCAAAAAGCCCCCACTGCTATTTTGCGAACTCGTGTCGACCTCAGAGGACTCTCCCATGAGTCCCACATCGAAACTAAGTACTAAGAGCACCCCAAAAGCCTTGTATAAATAGGACCCCATGCCCTAGACAAAGGGTAAGATCTCTCAGCTTGATTTATGATATAAATACTTGCTAAAAGACAGAGAATTCTCTCAAACTTACTTTGCCATCGGAGGGTCTTGGGCTGGTACCACACTGGTGTTGAGCAAGGAGACCTGCAACAGGCATGCCATCCACTTCTCGAAGGCTGTTCGTACCCTCTTCGGAGGAACACCACCAAGAATACCAAGTTTACTCCGACTGTCGAGATAGACTTAACGATCGTCACAAGGAGCGTCAGACATTCCCAATCCTGATCCAAACGAAACTCAATGATCGGCGCCTAGATGCACTCGGGCCAAAATCTCCCCTACGCCGAAGGTAAGATGCGATTGGTCTAGAAGAAATGGACGAGTCAAACTATGTTCCAACTTCACTCGGAATTACAATCTCCTACCATTTGGCAGGATCGAGACCCTCCAGACAAGAGCACCCTAGCTACCGGTCAGGAGGAGAGGACGATCGGCAAAAGAGAAGCCTCAGCAGAACTCTCGATAGGTCGAGAAGCGCAGAGGCATAGCACCCGCCAACCAATCGATCCCCAGACATCGAAACCCTTATGCAACGACCTCTCTCATGCCGATCCTACTATTCACCTCCTTATTCAGAAGATCAACTGGATTGAGGAAGAACAAAACCAGACTTGGACACCAACTTGGGGAAAGGTACAACTAGGACCGTTCACTAGCCGAATTTGAGTCTTTCGACATGACAAAGAAGTCTAGGCACTCCACATATCATTTTACACAGGAGTGGAAAATCTAGTGACCCACATCCATACTTTCCAATCAGCCTTGGGTTGCAAAGGGCTCACCGATGAAGGCCAGTGCTTACTCTTCCCATCCACTTTAGCCGGAGCCGCCCTGAATTGGTTCTATCGACTGGAAACAGGTACAGTAGATTCTTTTGATCAGTTAAAACAAACTTTCCTCAATCATTTTATGATACAAATCGATCGCCTTTACTTTGCCGATGACCTTTACACCATCCGGCAACAAGACGATGAACCCTTAAGGGAGTATGCAGCCAGGTTTAGCCACGAATACTTGTGATGCCTAGAAATCGATGATCGGGCAGCCTTCGGCACTTTCAAAAATGGTCTCCAAACGTCACAGTTTCGCTATCTGGTTCACAGCAGCAACTGGACAAACTACAGCAAATTGATGAAACATGCAGTCATTCATGCCAAGGCAGAGCACTTTAACTCTAAAGGAGTACCTTCGGTTTCCCTTTACCCAGCAACAAATGCAAGTCAAGTCCCGCCACCAACCTACGACCGTTTCCCGCCTCACCAAGTTGCAAATCATGCCCCCTACCGAACGGCACCTATTGTGTTTGCTCCTTACACAACGGAAGACAAGCGAAGGGACGGATTTCAAGGTTGGGAGGACGGAAGCAAACACAATAAAGATTCAGGTGGCCAAAACGACTTCAAAAGGCCGAGGAAGCTTTTACCTTGCTCAATTCGACTTACGAATACGTCCTCATGACAGAGAATCAGATAATTCTGAAGCCAAACAACCGGAAGCTCCTTCGACAAGTCGACAAGTCGACAAAGACATCGGAGTATTCTGCCACTACCACGAATACAACGACCACGATATCGAATCATGCATCGCCCTCCGGAAGGTCGTTGAGCGCCTCATCAACGAAGGTAAACTGGATCAATACCTTAGTACAAAATCGACCCCCAAGCAACCAGCAAATCGGCAAATCAATATGATCAGTGGAGGAGCACCCATAGCTGACACCAGCAACTGCTCAATTAAAAGGTACATGCGTGCCGTTCAACATTCTCAGATCCTCAACATCGTTGGAGCGCTCAACGACAAAATTCGATGAATCAGCTGGGAACCCATCACCTTTTTAGAAGAAGAGAAGGGAATTATCTTCCCCCACTATGATCCTATGATCATCTGAGTCAATGTGGCGAATTTTGACTTAGGCCGAATCCTCATTGACATAGGAAGCTCGGTCAACGTGCTCTTTGCCGATGCATTCAACGCCTTCAGCATAGAACAATGACATCTCAACACAGATATCACCTCTCTTTTGAGTTTCTCAGATATCACCCCGTAGGCTCAGCCTATTAAGGACATGGAAATGGTGTCCTTATCCGAGACACAGTTGGATCAGCAAGTCAGGATCGGCACCACCCTCAGTTCGCCACTACGAACCGAATTCATCACTTTCCTTTGTGCGAAGGCAGAAGTCTTTGCATGGTCCTAGAACGATATGCCCAGCATCCCTCATGATGTCATCAGCCATCAGCTCAACATTAGCCCTAATTTCAAACCAATCTGGCAGAAACGACGAGCCTATGATGCTGAATGGTACGAAGCAATGGGGCTTGAGGTGGAAAAATTACGGGCGATCGGCTTCATCCGGGATGTCGTCTACCTGATTTGGCTTGCGAATTCTGTCTTGATAAAGAAATCAAGCGGCGTGTGGCGAATATGCCAAGACTATACTGATATGAACAAGGCATGCCCCAAGGACAATTTCCCTCTGCCAAGGATCGACCAGTTAGACGTCACGGTAGGTCATGAACTCCTGAGCTTCATGGACGCTTATTTCGGCTACAATCAAATCTTCATGAACCCCGCCGACTGCAAACACACATTGTTCATTACCGACAAAGGACTCTATTGTTATGAAGTCATGCCGTTCAACCTGAAAAATGCTAGAAAAATGTATAAGCTTTTAGTCAACAGAATCTTTGTCGAGCTCATAGGCACTTCTATGGAAGTCTATGTGGACGACATGATGGTCAAAAGCAAGACCGCCGATCGGCATCTCCACGACCTCTCCCTCATGTTCGACGTCTTCAAGAAGTATAGTATGCGCCTCAATCCAACCAAATGCGCCTTTGGCGTCTCTTATGGCAAATTCCTAGGTTTTATGATCAGCCAACGAGGAATTGAGGCGAATCCCGAAAAAAATCAAGGCATTACTCGACATGCAAGTTTCGACAATGCAAAATGACATCCAGTCTCTCACCGGACGAGTTGCAGCCTTAGCACAATTCACATCAAAGGCCATCGACCGATATGCCCCTTTCTTCAAAGCCCTTAAGGGGAGTAAGTGACAGATCGTCTGGACTGCCGAATGTGATCTGGCCTTCCAAGACCTTAAGGTTTACGTGAGCAGAGCACCCCTACTATCTACCCCTCTCCCAAGAGAGAGCCTCATCCTCTACATATCAATCTCAGCAACAGCACTTAGCTCTGTGCTCATCCGTAAGCCGAAAAGTACAGAGCTCCTTATCTACTATACCAGTCATGCCCTACAGGACGCCGAGCTTCGATACCACAATTGGAAAAGCTTGCTTACGTTCTTGTCCTTTCGGCCCGAAAGCTCCGACCTTATTTTCAGGCTCATGCGATTACGGTGCTTACCAATCAGCCCATTGCGCCAAGTTTTGCAGAAACCAGAGACATCGGGAAGGCTAGGCTAATCAAGTGGGCCATCGAGCTCGAGGAGTTTGACATCCACTATTACCCCTGTCCTGCCGAAAAAGGACAAGCCGTTGCTGATTTCATTTCTTAGTTAACACCCTTCTCAGAAGAACAAAACCGTCCCGAACAGCCCTCGGTACTGCCGACCCCTCCACCCAACTCGACGGGTCCCCTTTGGATTAGACGACACTATTGTCTGGCCTTCGACTAGCAAAAGACATGGGTGTTGAACAACTCCAGATCTGCAGTGACTCCTAGTTAGTCGTCAATCAAGTGAACACCGAATTTTAGGCTAAGGACGCATCGATGACTGCCTACTTAGCGCACACCTGCCAATTACTCAGCTAGTTCAGCACATATCAAATCCAACAGATCTCAAGATCCGAGAACAGTCATGCCGACGCACTCTCCAAGCTTGCATCCGCAATTGACGACCAGGTAGGACGCCACATACCAATCGAAATTCTCGCTTGGCGGAGCACCACTGAAGCAGAGATAAATGCCGTTCGGCAGAACCTGAGCTGGATAGATCCAATCCACACCTACTTAATTGATGGCCCCTTTCCGACTGATAAAGCCGAGCCCTACGTCGTTTGCCGTCGATCGGCACAGTATCTTCTTCTGCAAAAAAACTCTACCGACGCAGTCATTCTCTACTGTTGCTACGATGTCTCACTCCACAACAAGGGGACTATGTTCTACGAGAAATTCACAAAGGTGCTTGTGGCCTACTCTTCATTATGATGCCATCAAGCTTGTATAGCACTACGACTAGTGCCAATGGTATGGCTCGATTTCAAAGCCACCCACTGAACCTCTTACCCCAATGGTCAGTCCCTGGCCATTTGCACAATGGGGACTAGATCTCATCGGCCCGATGCCCCAAGGTAAGGGACAAATCAAATTCGCAGTCGTCTCGGTAGACTACTTCACAAAATGGGTCAAAGCCGAAGCCTTTGCAACGATCACCGCCGCTAAAATCGAGCACTTCGTGTGGAAAAACATCATTTGCTGGTTCGGCGTCCCAAATGCAATCATCACAGACAACGAAAAGCAATTCGATAGCTCTCACTTCCGACATTTATGCTCCTGCTTCAAAATCAACATCTTCACTCTCCAGGCGCATCCGCAATCGATGACCGGGTAAGACGCTGAAGAAGAAGCTTGGAGCTACCAAAGGTGAATGGCCAGAAATACTACCAGAAGCACTGTGGGCCATCAATACATCATACCGAAGGTCAACCGAAGAGACGCCGTTCTCCCTTGCCTTCAGAACCGAAGCTGTTGTGCCGGCAGAAATCAACGCACCAACTTGCCGAACGACATCTTACGACCCAGAGCAAAATGAAGCCCAGCTCGCTCTGAACCTAGACCTCATCGAAGAGCACCGATCGCCGGCTCAGCCTCGGAATGTCACATATAAGCAATGAACCTCCAGATATTACGACTCACACGTCAAACATCGATCGTTCAGGGTAGGGGACTGGGTTTTACGCAACATCTCTATCGCAACAAGAAGCCCTGCCGAGGGCACCCTTGGCCCTTCTTGGGAAGGCCCCTACGAGGTCACAGAGGTCTGCCGACCGGGTACCTACTGATTGCTTGGGTCCGATGGTCAGGCCCTTGGTCACCCTTGGAATGTTGAACATTTAAAATTTTATTACAAGTGTTGAACATTTAAAATTTATCTTTTGCGTTATTGCATGTTTACCTATTCTATGCAATCGGTTACGCCTTAAAACAGCACAGCAGTATCAAACATGTACTACATACAGCATACACGCATACATTAGTGTACAGAAACAACAAGGCTGATTAAAAGCGAACTTGAAATAAAAAGCCACAAAAAGGGCTATATTGTCTTACACAACCGCCGAACGGCAATATACTACAAAATAAATATCTAAAACTACTGTGCGGGAGGATCGTCAGCATCGGCTGTAGAGGCATCGACAGCAAGCGGTGTAGGCACGGCCTCATCCTTCTCACTGCTCGAGTCAGTGTCATCTGAGGAATCGGCATCAGCTGCAGAGGCATCTCCTCAATGACGCCCTGGGGCAACGGAGAAGGATCCCGAAGGAAGTTCAGACTCAGCTTCATGTCAGCATTATACCGTTTGAATCGGTACACGAGGTCGTCGCACTGACCCATGACCTCTTTGTCGAGCAGAGCCGTGAACTCCTCCGAGTTTTGGTAGTCAGCCAAGGCTTTCGCCTTCGCCTCCCGCACTTCAGCCTTATGTGACCGTTCGGCTGCGTCCATCGCCGCCTTAGCCTCATGTGCCTCCACTACGGCCACCTCAGCTGCGGCTAACTTGGATGAAAGCTTTACGATCTTCGCCGCGTTCCTCGGCAAGACGATCGGCATCTTGAATGGCTTTGATAGCCTCGGCAATCCTTTCTCGACTGTCCTCAAATCTCTCTTGATACCGATCGGCCATGTTTAAGGCTCGCTTCATGCAGAGCCACATCTCCATGTCAGCCTGCCAAAACAGTGATATGTCAATACCAATCTTGTGTACACTTGGAAACTACAACACCCAAACACTTATCGTAGCTTGAAGGCAGAAGGCTCGGCCGGCCTGCTCGCGTACCGTCTTTGCCGTCAGCTACACCAACTCCGAGAGCTCCATCTGTGCGCTGTCGATGAAGCAGTTGACGAACGACACAACCTTCTGAGGACATGCCACATTCATTGGCCCGACATCCTCCTTCTCTTCATCATCGGGAATCAGAATGGTAGCCCCCTCGTTCTGCCGCTTCGGGAGATGGGTCACGTCAAGGGCGCCCTCGATTTGCCTCTTCTCGGTGACTTGGAGGGGTGCCTCAAGAACGGCCTCGGCCTTGGCCACCCTCTTCTCCTGACGGCGATCGGTCGCTGTCATCTCCGCAGTCGAAGCCCCCTCAGCTTGACGCGGTGGCTTCATCCTCGGCTTCAAGGGACCATCTTTTTTCTTATGTTGAGGGTCCTAAGACTCCAACCGCCTCCTCGTCGCATATGTCATTGCCTTACTGCTCGCCACTGCAAACAAAGTGAACATAAACAAAGTTAAAAAAGGAACGGTGTGCAGAAATAGAAATGATACCTGCCAAAAGGCAACACTTACTGTTCCTTTTCTCTTCTTCCTCTTTCCCCTTCTTCCTTCAGGCGTGCTCCGGCTTGCTAATTAGGCCCACCTTGAATAGGTTGTAGAAGTTTAACAAGGTCTTGAAGAAGTGGTCTTCTTCAGCAATTTTCAACATGCCTTCTCCAGGATCGACAACTAACACATCAGCCTTCTCCAGGATCGACAACTAACACATCAGCCTTCTCCAGGATCGACAACTAACACATCAGCCTTGGTCGCCTCGGCTCGACAACCGGATGTCGATGGCTGAGAGTTATTAATCTCAACCACCTCCACACTTGAAGTGCTCCCCGATTCGGTAGACACCTCTGTACCCCCTACTACCTCGGCGACCTTAAAATCGTCACTATCGAGCCTAGTACTCGAGCTCTCTGACGCCAATTCTCCCTCAAACGCTCTTGGGCTATCACTATAGTCTGATTCGGTATCTGACATCTACAAACAAAAGCAAAACAAAACTAAACACCATGCCAGAATCAAACTCCTACCCTATAGCGCGAGAGCTCATGTTCATCTATGTTCATACATGTTCATACAACAATTGAAGGATTTGATTCAATTCAGAAGAAAATATGGCAGCATACCTTGTTTACACGGTGGTTGGAGAACACTAGAAATTGCCTTCGCCTCGAAATTCTCGCTGAAAATCGCCTACGCCGCTACAATGCACTCACCGGAAATCGCCTCTCACAAGCTCTGTTTTGCTCTAAAAAATTCAAGTACCCCTCCTACTATCTCTTCGGTCTATTTATAGGATGAACCTAGCATCAGTAAATGAAATAACGAGACTTTTCGCAGCCCTCCTGACGCGTGTCACGCATGCACAGGGAAGCACAAGAGTCATCGCAACCCCACTTGAGCGAGCGCTTCAAATTCTCAGACTTTCTTTTCAAAGCACAACTTCATCAACGAACGGCGGGCGCACATTGGGTGAATTCTTACTCACCTCTCGTGCCGAACGGCAGGCGGACACTGGTTGAGTTCTCAGTCACCTCTCGTGCCGAACGGCAAGCGCACACTGGTTGAGTTCTCAGTCACCACTCGTGTCGAATGGCAGGCGCACCCTGGTTGAGTTTTCACTCACCTCTCGTGTCGAACGATAGGCGCACACTGGTTGAGTTCTCACATCACCTCTCGTGCAGAACAACAGGCCCTCATTGGTTGAGTTCTCACTCACCTCTCGTGCTGGACGGCAGACACACATTGGTTGAGTCCTCACTCACCTCTAATGCCAAATGGCAGGCACACCTTGTTCGTGTTTTCAGTAACCTCTCGTGCCGAACGGCAGGCACCATCGGACGACCCTGCTCCTATCGTGCCTTCGATTCCTGCTGTAGTTCCATTCCAATCTTCCAACACTCCTCCTTGCTCGGGGACTTGGGGGACTCCATGACTACCATTAGCAAATTACGCAAGGACGCTCATGTCTGAGTCAGAATGCCGAAAAATCGAAGACAAGTCCCCAACTAATAAGTCCCTTCTCAATCAGAAACTTTGGGGACTCCTGTTTGTACCATAGCTGACCCTACCACTCACGTCATGACACATGGAAAGAGCACTAGTTAGGAAGCATTCTGACTTACCGACAGACCGGTCAAAGGTATGAATCGGTATATGTGGCCGATCCATCACAAGGCACTCTCGTAACCCTAAGACGTAACAATCGGCACTCCATGTCGATTGTACGAAAGGATCTCGGAAAGCCCCCATTGATATTTTGCGAACTCGTGTCAACCTCAGAGGACACTCCCACGAGTCCCACATCGAAACTAAGTACTAAGCATCCTAAAGGCCCTTTATAAATAGGACCCCATGCCCTAGACAAAGGGTAAGATCTCTCAGCTTGATTTATGATATAAATACTTGCTAAGACAAAGAATTATCTCAAACTTACTTTGCCATCGGAGGGTCTTAAACTGATACCACATCGGTGCTCTCGACCTCATCCAGTGTTTCTTTTCTTAGTACAAAACGAAGCATCATACCTCAAGGTACCAAATGCTTACATCAAGGGTCCACCCGGCCAAATCATCACACCACTTGTAAGTTGCCTCTATTTCTATCTGTTTAGTTTTAGGGCGAACAACCCTAAAATATGAACTAGCGCTCATCCGTCCCTTAACCCTTTTTATTTATTTATGCATTTCTCAACTTTCACTTTTCATTAAAGGCCATGCTCCCATCACCCAGCTATATTCAGGCCCTTCTCCCACCCCTTAGATATACCTCAACCGAAACACAAATCCAAAACACAACCGTATTTATGATGCATATGTAATGCAATTCAAACATCATTCATATGTGCAGAATAATAATACAGATGATAACAATAATATTTCAATTTTAATCACATGAATAATAATATTCACTCAACATCATATAATATTTCATCGAACATCAAATAATATTCACTGGGCAAAATAACAATAATATTTATATTTATAGTATTATATATAAGCACCGTGATTAAAAGTGACATAGCCCAATCATCGGGAAATCAGGAAACCCTACCTCGTGTTCGACTAGTTAGATTACCGAATTACCCTTCCAAACCTTCTGTTTCCACTCGAGCCTAAATCAAACAATAGGGACAAATAATAATTAGTGGTTTTGCTTAACATAATTTTTTGTCTAAAAGTTACAAGTCTCAGATGGTCATGAAACCAACGTTAACGGACTTCAAATGAAAAACCAAGTTGGGGAGGATGACGAACGACGGATTATGTTTGGAGTACACCTATTTGGAGAACAATGCAGTACTGATATGTTTTGTACAGTTAACAGAATATTCTTCGACACCCTACTCATGTTATCTGCACAAGGTTGGCCAGGATCTCTAGCCACCTACCTGACTTGTCTATACAGGTAGTGGGCTAGTTTCCCCTAGCCTTTGGATTAAATGATATTTCTCATATACCCCTTGGTGGGTAAGCGCAGGACATATGCACTATGCAGATGGTCGCATGTATGACTTTCAGGCATAGTATGAAATATTGATAATATCAATAATATCGACAAAATATCGAGGATATTTCGATTTTTTCGAATCATGGATATTTTGGAACATATCCATGTACATATCGTATAAATATCGACATAATATCGCTAAAATATCAAAATATCGATGTAAAGGAAAAAAAAACACAAAGGGGATTTTGAACACAAAGGTAGGAAAAAAAAACACAAAGGGGATTTTGAACCCCTCCCATTTTACTACTCCAACACCTTAACCACCATATATCACTTATGTTTTAGTGATAATATGCTAAAATATTTATGTTTATATGGGTGACATATTAACAATTACATGCAAAACTATTTTGGGGATTTATCATTTGATGAATACTCGTCACAATACACATACTCTACACATAGAGATGATGAAGATAATGAAAAATTTGAACCTTATAGGAACTCTATGTGGTACTAAGTCACTCATGTATCTTACCATGTAATGTATAAAGTGTAAAATATTGTAGTAAATCATTATATATAAATGATTATGGTGTGTTTAATCTTTTTTCATTAATTACTACATATTTTCTACACTCACAGTGTTTGCCAGCTCGTTGTATAATCAACTTAAATCAGTTAAATCCATCATGTAATGCTTTTTTTTTTTTTTTTTTTTTTTTTTTTTTTTTTTTATTAATAAAAATAATTGATAAATAAATATTCTCCAAAGTTTCAATAAAAATTTCCAAGTTTTTCTTACAATTTCCGTGGTTTTTATTCAATTTTTATCGATATTGATAATATCCCGATATTTCCATCGAAATTTCCATGTTTTTGGACTACCGATATTTCCGATATCATCGATATTTTAGACCATGCTTTCAGGTAAAAGGTTTAGTTACATATGTGTTTGATATACAATGATAAACTGATTGAACAGTTAGTTACATAATTTCATGGCATGATATTCAGTTATATAGCTCATTGAAATTAAGTAAAGAATGATTCTAGAGTTTTATTGTCAGTTTCGCTTTGAACGTTACTATATTATCTTCATTGAGATTTTTGGTAGAAAGAACTACGTGTGGCTTGATCCATCAGTAAGGGTACGTAGGCAACCTAGGCTAACCTAGGTGTAGCTGCAAGTTTAGACTTTGTTTATTATGTTCCATTATGTTAAGAGGGTTTCGCTGACATTTTATGTTGGTAAAGGATGGCCTGAAGTCCATTGAAACTTTTGCTAATTGGTGTGTGGTGTATACCTTGTGCTTGCTAAACGCTTGGGAAATAAATTATATTTCCCGTAAAGGTAGATTTTTAGGTTTAGAGCCATTCCAAACACATTCCCTCAGCATCAACATCCACAACCTTCTTATACCAAAACTAGCATGAACATGTTAAAGCTCAACTTGGAGCGTTTTTCTGGAACATATTCATATGGATGGCTGGCGTCCATGAAACGTTTCTGGGAGTATTATGAAATTCCAAAGGAAGATAAGATCATCGTCGCCACGGTTAATTTCTTCAAGGATGCCTCTCTCTGGATGTGTTGGTTTAAACAACGGTATTCCAAAAATTGGGGCCTTTTTTGTGACATGTTGCTTCAGCACTTAGGCACCACAGACTCTACCGATTTCGAAGCTAGTTTCTCCTATTTTCAACAGAGTGGATCCTTGGAGGACTATCTCCACAATTTTACCAAGCTGGCTTGCCGAGCCCCCGATTGGTCCAATTTTTAGTTGAAAAATGTGTTTTAGGGTGGCCTCAAAGATTAGTTGCGACACGACGTACACACTCTTCAACCTCCCACCTTGTCTGAAGCTAAATGCTTGTCCTAAATTTTTAATGCCAAAATCCATGCTCGACGTTTCCAGGGTCGTACCACTTACACCAAACCTTCCCCAACACCATTTTCCTCTCTTTTTCCCCATCTTCCTCCACAACCTACATGCCCTCAACCAAATCGCCTCCTTATACCAATTCCTCCACTCTATTTCAAAATTTAACACAGGCAAAGGCCCAGGACCGACGCGATAAAGGATTGTGTTTTAATTGTGACGAGTTGTTCCGTCTAGGACATCGTTTTTAGAAACCATTCATAGCTATGATTGAGGTCACCCAGGAGGAAGACCCTGTTGAGTTTCATGATTGTCTTTCCTATGAGGAGTACCTTCCACATACCCCAATCTTGATCCAATCATTTCCATTCATGCTATGACAGAATCTCATTTCCCTCATACTATGCGGCTCTTAAGGTCTATCAGGAAGCTTGACCTCCACATTTTTGTGTATTGTGGCACCACACGTAACTTTCTACACCCTAAGTTCACTTCTCAACTGCACTTACCTATAGACTCCGAGGATATTCGCCAAATCAGCGCCGCCTCAGGCTTGGAACTCACGCAGGGCACTATCCAGGAGGTGCCAATGAGTCTGCAAGGCTATTCCTTTATGACTTCTTTTCATCTATTGTCGGTGCAGGGGTATGATGCCATGTTGGGAGTACAATGGCTTGAATCCTTAGGTGTCATTGGTTGGAACTTTAAAGGAAGGTTCATGGAGTTCCACATTGGCTACAAGCAGAACTGCCTTAAGGGCTTTAGCCCCTCAAAGGCTCAGATTATTCAGTATGCCATAATGGCGAAACTTATTGGTGAAGGAGGTGCTTGTTTCATGGCTTAGTTGCTACTCCTACACACCCTTACCTTTGTCACAACACCTCTTCTTCCCAAACTTTAGGAATTGTTAGCTCAGTTCTCAGCTTTGTATGATCCATCGTACCAGTTACCACCTCATAATAAAAAAATTCTCCTGATTCCTTTCATGGAACCGATCAATGTGCGCTTATACTGGTATCCCCACTTTCACAAAGCGGAGAAAGAGAAATTGGTAACTAAAATGTTTACTACTGGGGTGATCTGACGAAGCTCAAGTCCATTCTCCTCCCCCATGTTACTAGTTAAAAAGGTTGATGGTGTTTGACATTATTGTATTGAGTATTGCACCCTCAACGCCTTTACAATCAAGGACCATTTCCCTATACCGATATTTTATGAGCTCTTAAATGAACATCATGGGTCTGTCATATTTACAAAGTTGGATCTCCGTTCTGGTTACTACCAAATTCGAATGCACGATGATGATATCCCAAAGACTGTGTTTTGCACTCGTAATGGTCACTTCGAGTTTTTGGTAATGCCCCTTGGTCTTACAAATGCTCCATCCACTTTCACCCATTTTTTTTTATATAAATTTGTGTTAGTCTTCCTTGATGATATACTCATTTATAGCAAAAGTTTGCAAGATCATTTAACCCATTTGACAAAGTTCTTCATGGTGCTCCAAGCAAATGCCCTGAAATTGAAGCATTCCAAATGTATTTTTGGCTCACACTTTGTTGATTACTTGGGACATACAATCTCTTCCCAAGGGGTAGTTGTCGACACCAAAAAAATATAGTGCATCCATGATTGGGTAAAACCTACCTCCATCAAGGGTCATCGTGGCTTCCTTAGCCTTGCTGGATACTATCAAAAATTTGTCCTTAATTTTGGCCTCATATCCCTTCCTCTTACGGATATGTTGAAGAAGGATTCTTTCATCTGGACACCACAAGCTAAATCTGCCTTTGAGGTTTTTGAAGCATGCCTTCTCCACTAACCTTGTGCTTATTCTCCCAGACTTTATAAAACAATTTGTTGTAGATATAGATGCATCAGATGCAGGCATAGGGGTTGTTCTCTCCCAAAATGGCCACCTCATTACCTATATTAGCAAGCCCTTATCCCCCAAGAATCGGGCTATTTCTGTCTATGACAAAGAAATTCTTCTTGTTGTTTTGGGCAACAATTCAAAATTATCACGAACCATCAAACTATCCGCCGCTTCTTGGAGCAACACATCACTACTCCGGCTCAACACAAGTGGCTTATTAAGCTATTGGGTTACAATTACTCAATTGAGTATTCTACAGGTGCACAAAATAAGGTCCCTAATGCTTTTTCCCGGCAATTTGAGGAATTTACTCTATTAAGCTTATTCCTTCCTGTGTTAAACAACATCGCCACCATTAAACTCTTATATCCTTCTGACTCTGAAGCCTCCACAATTATCCAGCAACTGTTGCATGCCTCTAACCCCAAGAAACATTTTTCTTAGGCGAATGATATCTTATATTACAGAGGCTTAGTTTTTGTCCCTCAAGCATCCAGATGGCGCTCCAAACTTCACCATGAATTCCACTCAACTGTGACTGTAGGACACTTTGGATGCCTTCACACCTTTAAGCGCCTTAACTCTAATTTTTTGTGGCTTGGAACTAGATCAGATGTCAAGAATTTTGTGTCATCCTGCGATATCTGCTAGAGACAAACATACGAAACCATACACCCACCCAGGCTCTTACAACCACTTCCCATACCAAAGGACGCTAGGCAAGATATTGACATGGACTTCATTGAAGGGTTGTCGCTGTCCAAGAGAAATACTACACTTCTAGTTGCCATCGATCGCTTCACCAAATAAGCCCATTTCATTCCGTTAGCTCATCCTTACACGGCTTCCACGATGGTTGAGTCATTTATTCAACAAGTCTTTCGACTCCATGGCATGCCCAAGACCATCACCAGTGACCAAGATCTTGTTTTCACAAGTCAATTATGGGAGGCCTTCTTTAGGCAGCAAGGCACACAACTTTGTAGGACTTCCGATTACCACCCGTAGTCCGATGGCCAGTTGGAAACTCTTAATAAGCCACTAGAGGACTATTTACGGTGCTATGCATGGGATAAACCCTCTTCATGGGTTTCTTTCTTGCCTTGGGTCGAGTGGTGGTACAATATCACATTCCAATCATCAATCGAAATGACTCCCTTCCAGGCACTTTATGGTATTCCCCACCCGTTCACACCTATCTACTTGGCTCCACTGCCTTGAACGTTGTTGATTCAACTATCAAAGACTGTAATACCTTGCTTCACACCCTTAAACATAACTTGAATATTGCCCATAACAGGATGAAGCAACACGAAGATTAGAAGCAAACTGAGCGTCACTTTGTTGTAGGGGATAATGCCTACCTAAAATTGCAACCCTATAGCCAGTTTTTCCACCCAACATCATGCGTGTCACAAGTTCAACGCACGTTTTTATGGTCCATACCATATTCTCGCACAAAGATTGAAATATCGGCCTATACATTGATATATTGGTATTTTCAATCGTCGACACTGATACTGGGGGAGGGGGTAATGCCATATATTCCCCTGTATCGACGATATATCCCTGATATTTTGCCGATATCCCCAATATTTCCCAATACCCATAACAGAACCCAAAAAAATTTCAGCAGTTTTGAAGTCAATTGAAGCAAATTGAAACCCAAAAATGGCTAACCCTTTCCCATAACTCTATATTTATTAATATGAAGAATCTATGCACAGTTCACTGCCCACATACCTCCAATTTATCTGAAGAGGACATGGCGATTAGTTTTGGATATGAGCATAGGAACTAGACCTAGTACTAACTCAAATGAATCTTATGATGGCTATGGTTATGTCATGTTTGATTATGGTGGAGCTAGTTATTGAGCTCAAGATTATGAAACAGATTATGGACCTACTAGTTGGGCTAATCCTACCTATCCCATATATGGGAGGACAGTAGGGAGCTTAAGAGAGACCTATGTGCGCACCATGTTCAAACATGGCTTACAAACTGCTCAGGTTACATGACTTGGTATGACTATTGTATGAATCTAGATGGTTGTTCTTCATTGTTTGAACCTCATAGGAGCTCTTCATTTATGTAGATGGACACTTATCTAAATTGTAATCCAATGTTTAAACAAACTATGGATTTATGCATGGTTTATTCATTCTAATCAATATTTTATTTTCAAACTTTTATTAACCCGGATTACATACCACTTATATTTCATCATATGTATATCTTATTATTAGTAAATTTTGAGTTTTATTTGTTCAATACATTCATTGCTAATGTACATAACATCTATGAAAGTTTTACACCAAAATTATGTGTTTCAATGCCTATATCTGTCATTTTTATTGATTTTTTCCCTATATATAAAACGATAACGATACATCCCCCAAAATATCCATAAACTGGAGGCTCGATATTATCTGTACGGTCGATATTTTAATCCTTGTTCGTACGAGTGGGTTCGGTTGCCTACAAGCTCCCGCTACCTTGTGGCTCTAAGATCCACCTAGTTTTTCATGTGTCTTTGTTGAAGAGGAAGCTTGGTAATCCCCTCTTAATCTCGGCCACTCCCCCTCTTTACCATCATGATGGCTCGTTCACTTGGGAACCAGAGACTATTTCTGTCAAGGGCCTTTTCAAGAAGGGGAACGCACCAATCACCAAATGGTTAATTAAGTAGGTTAGTCTCCCTGCCGAGGATTCTACTTGGGAACCAGCTGACGACATTTTGTCTCGCTTTCCAACATTTCAGCCCTGAGGTTAGGCCTCATTTTAAAATGGGGTGCTTGTAAGACCTACTCAGTTTTGGGCCACTTCTTGTCTGGCCCATAAGTTAGCTGGAGGTTGTTCCTATATTTTTCAGACCGTTCACCACAGAATAATCTTGTAATTCCCTTCTAGTATTCCTTACAATTGTCAGGATTTCATTGGATGTGCTCACTCTCATGAGTGACCTAATGATTAGGGCAAGGCTACCCATTTTCACTGTATTTAAGGATACTGACCTACCCTTTTGGAGGTAGCTATGAAATGAACATTTAAATTCCATTATTTTTTTTCCTTTGTTCGCTCTGTTGTCTATATATCATCTAGGTCTAGTCCTAGCAACCCACCACTGAGCCATACACCCAAATCCCACCTCCTCTCTTCCCTCCTCCCTCTCTATTCAACAACAATGAAAGCCCCCCCACCCTCTATCTCATTCCCCCATCACATCTACCCTTCCTCCTTCTATCTCCCTATTTCTCTCATCCCTCCTTTCTTTCTTCGATAGCCACCCCTTGAGAAAAACCAAATAACCAAACGCCTATCTTGCCAAGCGTTATTGTTGGGTTATCATTTTTTATTTTTTGCTTCATTTTTGGGTTATCTGGGTTTTTTTTTCCCAGGTTGATTGTTGGATTTGATTCATTTGCTTCTTTTATTTGTGTAATTGGATATGAGGATTTGGTCGGGATGAGGGAGAAAATGGGGTGTGGTTTGACAGGGATGAGGGAGAAAAAAAATGATTATGTTTTATTTTTTGAAATAAATCTTATATCTTTTTTTTTCCAATTTTAATTATATTATTTAATTCTTTTTAAAATTTTTATTTTCTCAGTCCACATGGCGCAATATGTGTGGTCTATGTGGATCCACTAATTGGCACATAGTGAAATTTATTCAATGTTTTAATTATTTGGAAAGATGAATATTTTATTATATTTTTATGCGGTGGGCTCCACTTTGCCACATCATCCACTTAAATTGGTGAGTAAATGACCTAGGTGCACAAAATTATAAAAACACTCGTACTAGGTCATCAAACTTAACGGACTTTTGGATGGAGTTGACGGTAGAAGGTAATGTGGAACATCAAACCATGGTTAATGGGGCAAAATGGGTCACTTTGACTTCGAGGGAGTAAAGTGAGATTTGACCAATGTTTCAGGGTTGTAGCACTTAAACCTAAATAAAAATAAAAATAAAAGGTCAATGTAAAATTACATTTTGTGGTTGGAGTTTGAGACATATAATAGTTGGATCTTTGCCCATTTTGTAATTCGATATAAATAACCATTAAGCTACATATTGTTAAACGATTAGTTCATTTGTTCATGCCTACTTTTGGAGTGCATGTAAGAAAAAATAGACTTATTTACTGTAGCACCTAGGGCTGGGCACGGTCCGGTTCGGTCTGGTTTTCATGCAAAACTGGAACCGAAATCGGTACTGTTCATCCGGTTCGGGTTTTAACTAAAATGACAAAGAAAACCGGACCAACCCGGGCCGGTTTAGGGCCGGTTCGGTTCCGGTTTTTCACGCTTTGGACCGGCTCTTAGCCTAACTAATATTTTTACACAAAGTAATGGAGCAAATCACCAAATCCATACAAGAAAAACCATATTTGAACCTTAAAAGATACAAACAAAAAAAAAAAATTATCCAGCAAAACATATCCAATTGATGCACCAAAGGAGAGTGAGAAACAAAAAGAGAAATCAGACAAAGAGGAGAAGAAGAAATAAAGACCTGGTGAGAAATAAAAAATAATAATAATAAGAGAAAGATATGAAGAAATAATCAGTGAGAAAGAAGAGAGGAAAGAAAGAATAAATGGGATGAGAGTAGAGAAAAGAATAAATGATATGAGAGTAGAGAAAAAATGAAATCGGAGAAAATAGAGGAAGAAAGAACTGGAGAGCAAGAAGAGAGGAAAGAAAGAAGAATGACAGAGAAAGAAGAAATCAGAGAAATGAGAGGGATAAACAAGAAAGGTCAAAAAGTATGAAATATTTCATTAAAAAATTTTAAAAAAACTGTTCTCTTTTCTCTGCCCAAGACATCAACATCAATCATCAATTCAATACAAACTCACCCAACTATTACAATATTTTAATGCAAATAGGCATGGGATTAGAGAAGGTGTGAGAATAGGCGTGAATCTCAAACAAAAAGTAAGACAAATTTCATTAAATAAATAAAAAAGAGCCGTTTCATTTTGTCTACTCGAGGCATCAGTCATCAATACAAACCCAACCTGCCTTTCAATGATAGTGTTTTAAAACAAACACAAATAAGAGAACGCCATGTGTAAGTAAAAATATATATTTAATATGACCGGTCCGGTTCGGACCGGTCCGGTATTTTCAGTATAAGAATCGGAACTGGAACCGGATTAAACCGGTTCGGTCCGGTTTTTGGTCAATTCGGTCCGGTTTTTGGTCAACTCGGTTTTTTCCGGTTTTTTTCGGTCCAGTTCGGCTCGGTTTTCCGGTTTTCCGGTTTGAATGCCCACCCCTAGTAGCACCCCTTGAAACTTCGGTCAAATGTCACTTAACCACCCCGAAGTTAAAATGGCCCACTTTACCCCATTGACCGTGGTTTTGTGTTCCACTTTCCTCCCACCCCACTATTAATGCCATCCCAAAAACCATCAAAAAAGCTGACGTGGCAAGGGTATTATGGTAAAAGCACCCATGTGGGCCAATTGCTGACCTTAGTCAGCTGTCTACGTGGCATATTAGACCCCATAGGCGTTGAAAATCCTAATTTAAGCGGCTGATGATGAGAATCCTCTGTCTTCTTCTTCGATAATAGGGTTTCTAAACTTAAAGCAATTACTTAGCACCATTTGAAGCATTTAAGGTTCTCCAGAGAAAAATCTCTCCATCGTTGTTCGATTAAAGGGTGCGAAGATGAGGAAAGAACCTCCACGAGGAGAAGAGGTGGCCATTGCTGCACCTGATTGCTATTGTGGGGGGCTTGCTCGGCTGCAGACTTCTTGGACAGAGTCCAACCCACTTCAGAGGTTCTTTGTGTGTCCAAAGTCAGAGGTAGGTTTTGTATTTGTCATTTTATCGAAAATTAGAAGAAGAAAAAAATTGTGAGAATGTGATGGAATTGTTGTTTGAATGCAGAGGGGGAAAAAAGGTTGTGAGTTTTTTGTATGGGTTGATATTGAAATGCCTCCCTATGAGAGAGCTTTGATGGCTTGGCTGCTGAGGACAAAGAGAGGATTTGAAGATCAAATTAGGCGTGCGAGAGCAAGAGAGAAGAAGTTGTGGATTGCTCTATTTATTTCTTGGGCCTTTGTGTTTATGATTTGGTTTGGCAATGTTGTGTAATGTAACTTAGGCAATGTGGTATGTTTGAAAGTTAGGTAATGTTATGTAATGTACCTAGTTGAATGGCAATTTAGGGAGATGAGAGTCTTTATGCAATGGCTCTAGCATTTTGCAAATGTAATGGTTTGAAAGCCCTTTTGTAATGGTTAAGACTAAAGACTTATGTAAGCAACAGTAATTGTTGAAACCTTTAAGAGCTTTACAACTGCAATTGATTCATAACTTTACATAAACTGTATATAGTATTGTACAGTTTAAACCATAACTCAAAAGACTTTCTAAGCACATGTTTAAACCATGGTAATGCCAAAACAAAATACAAAAGATCTCATATGCACCATCCATGGCAATGCTGTACAATCTTGTACCCAAAAACAAAGTATACAATCAAATATCAAATAGACAGTTTCTACCCAAAAACACATGTGTTCCCCAAGACACAGCAAAAACAGAGGAGAGATTTTCAATATCTCTATGGCTTAAACTTTGCCAAGAAGGCTTTCTTCTTAGCTAGAGACTTAAACCTAACTTTCCTTTGTGGGGAAGCTTGTAAAGGTAGAGACGAATTTGGTGCTTGAGATTGGGAGACTTGTTCAAACAGAGCAGCTTCAGAGGCTTGTTCAAACTGAGGAGCTTGAGAGGCTTGTTCAAACTGAGCAGCTTGAGATGCTTGTTCAAATTGAGAAGCTTCAGAGGATTGTTCAAACTTAGATGCTTTAGCTAGTTGGTGAGATGGTTGAGCTGCTTGGTGAGATGGTTGAGTTGGTTGGTGAGATGGTTGAGGAGGTTGGCCAGACTGAGAAGAAGCTTGGTGATGATTGCTCCTTTTTTAAGCCTTTGATATGATCTTAAAATTATGGAAGAGTTATATTAAATGCCCGATGTTGGATTAATATCTACAAATGAAGATTCTAGAACTGTTACGTAAATAAAAGAATTTTTAGGGGGTGCTATAGTAAATAAACCGAAAAAATATGCCAAATGAGTGCTAGGTAAAAAATAAAGGTTTACTTGGATAAATTTTTGTAAATTTTGGTTACCCCACGTGGCTGATATACCATCCAATACATATGGGACATGCGGAATATTTTTATGTCTTATGTATATTGGACAATATTTCCACATATTCCATATGTATTGGATGGTACACCAGCCACATAGTGTACCCGGAATATGCAAAAAATTACTCATTTACTTGATTGGATGGGTCAATTGTGTAAGAATTCATAATTTTTGGATATTTGTTTTTCAAATTTTAAAAGATATTCACTCTCTTACCGTGACACTAGGTTTGGTGTTACTTGAATAGGTTCAACTAGAGGGGTCAATTGGCTATGCCATACCCGCCTATTTAGGAAAATCATCAATCCAGGCCCAAGTCCATGGCCCGATATGGGGTTCGAGTCATGCTCATGACTGGCTACTTAATGGACCGATATGGGCCCACGCCAAATTTGACTTATGTATTGCTTTTTTTTGTTGTAATTTTTTTACAACTTCATTTAAATCTTTTGTACAATTATGTATATACTAATAAGATTTATTATTTGTTTTAAAAAAAGAAGGTAAATAACTTTATTTAAAGTACATTTAAATAGAAAATAGCTAGATTATTGTTTGGGTTTTAAAAATCAAAACTTGAAAAATAAAATTATTATTTTTTATATAAATAAAACATTAAATTTTAATGTATATTATTAGAGAAAACAAGTATAATTTAATAAATGGGCTTTAAATAGGCCGGTCCATTAAATTTCGGGCCGGCACAGCTCGCGACAAGCCATAGGTTGACCCCGCTCATTGGACCTAATTACCTTGTTTCGGCACAACCTAAAAATAAAATTCATGCCGGGTCGAGCCTTACTTCAAAGGGCCGTATTTGAGCCGGCCCAGTCGGTTGACACCTCTAAGTTGAACGCAAACTAGTTTGGATCCAACTCAACTTTTGAATAAAAAGTTGGGCTTGAGTAATTTATTTAAGGGGTTAACTATTGATTTACCACTTGAACTTGTACGTTACTTTCAATTTGTACCCTCAACTTTGTTTTTGGAAAATTGAGTACACTGACTAATTTTTATTGTTAATTCCCCCCTACTATCTAAATCTCAACATTTCATCCAATTTGTTGTTAAATATGAGGGCAAATTGGTCATTTTATATGTTACAATAATATGAAATCTCAAATGAATAAATAAAATCATTTTAATAAATAGAGGGGTCCCACCCATACCTTCCCTCTGTTGTAAAAACAGAGAGAGAGAGAGAGAGAAGGTTTGTTGGGAGGGATGGTTCTTGGGGGGGGAGGGTGACTTGCAGTGGTGGTCATGGGGAATAGGGAGAAGAAAATGGGTGGTTGTGGGCTGGGGGGGGGGGGGGGGGGGGGGGGTGGGGGGGGGGGGGGGGGGGGGGGGGGGGTGGGGGAGTGGTAAAGGAAGGAGGGGGAGGGATGGGTTTTGGTCTGTGAGTTCTAGGTTCAGAGTCTATGGATTTTGGGTTCTTGGTTCTTGGTTTGTTGGCGAGGGCGTAGGGTGGTTCTGTGAGGGGGGAGGGGGGTAGGTCTGTGGGTTTTAGGGTTTAGGGTGGGGGAGATTGGTCTGGAGTAAAGGGTGGTGGTCATGGGGAAGGGGGGGGAATGGAAGGAGAAGAAAACCAAAAAGGGAGGGGGGTTTATGTTAGGGTGGGTGGGTCTCTAGGATTTTTTATTATTTTTGTTCTCTTTTTCTATAATTTTTAATGATTTGAATGACTATTGGATATATTGTTGATTTAGACGGTAGGGGGGAATTGGCAATAAAAATTAATTCGTGTACTCAATTTTCTAGAAAATAAAATTGAGGTGCAAATTAAAAATAATGTACAAGTTCAGGGGGTAAATCAACAGTTAACCCTTTTATTTCAGTCAAATTTTTGTTAGACAAAATTTGTAACAGCCCATCAGAACGCTACAAAAGAAAGTCGTTTTCATTTTTCCCTTACCTTACCCACCAACGAATCGGACTGAGGCATACGCGCGTATTTTATCCACTACATTGGTTACTTCAGGACGTCATCGCAGCCGTTCATTTCCTTTCATACCCGTCGCCTTCCCAAGATTCATAGTCCTCCATTCAATCTTCAGCAGCAGGGTAAATAAATCTCTCGAGGCTCGATTTCCAGGTATTCTTCAATCAATCAAATCAAATCACTGCTCTCTTCTCTATCCAAGAGTATAATTTTCCACCACCTTATCTTCGCCAATGGCCTAAATTAGGATTTCGCTGCTTTTATTTATTTATTCATTTCGATATAAAGAAGAAAAAAGATAATTGATAAACAAATTAATTGAGGGGTTGAAGTGATGAGGAATTGATGCCATGGGAGATTTGTAATTACATTACAATCTTATCAGATTAAAAAAAAAAAAAAAAAAAAAAAAAAAAAAGAAAAAAAAAAAAAAAAGAAATCATAAATATTTCATACAGAGGAGGATTTAAGCTGGGTCTATTCTCATTATAATTTGTGATATGATGTTCATCTTAAGGATGATAATTCTCTTGAATTGTGCTTAAAATCTTACTTTAAGGTAAGTCATGGCAGTAAGAATGAATATAAAACAATCAAGTAATAATCTTTTTTATTTATTGTTGATTTTGAAATGCATTGTATTTTCCTTGGGCCTTAGAGGGAAATAGTGATGTGCTTAAGATATTTGTGGTTTGAGATGAATATAATGATCAATGGTTAGTAATCACATTGTCATATTAGAGTTAGCGAGTGTTATCTTTCAATTCAAGGATGTAGATATGGGATAACAATGAGTTACATTGCAAGAATAATGCTTTCGTTTCACTGTAACAGCGTATCCATGGCAAAGAAACGGGGCAAGGCGTCAAAGGGAAAAGGCCTACCTTTAAGTCACGATGATGGGAGTAAAAAGATAGGGAAGAGTTTAATGAAGAAAAAAAAGAAATCTAGGAAGATAAGCGCATCTTCCATGCCTACACCTGCACCTGTGCTTAACAGTGGCCCTTCTGCTTCCAATGTTGCTCATGCTACTTCATCTAGTCATGCTAATCCTACTATTAGGGAAAAGTTTCGGCCCAAAAAGAATGAGAAGGATAGTGGGCAATCACATTCTGGTTTTATATTCATGTGTAATGGAAAAACGAAACCTGAATGCTATCGATATCGTGTTTTTGGGCTACCCTTGGGAAAGGTAGAAGTTGTAAAGAAGATTACACCTGGTACAAAGCTATTTTTATATGACTTTGACTTGAAGCTCCTTTATGGCACATACAAGGCAACTTCAAATGGAGGATTGGATTTGGAGCCAATTGCGTTTAAGGGGAAATTTCCTGCACAGGTAACAATGTTCTATATGAATATGAAATGTTAATTCCTAGAAAATAAGACCAACGAGTGCCCAACAATAACCCCTTTGTTCACCGTATACATCGTACATATCTTGTTGACCTTGTCCTTTAATAAGTATGACATTATTCAATGCTATTACTAAACAACCCCTGGTCCTTTGTATTTCTGAGTTACTTAACTAAGCTAGCTACTTAACTTAGTTACGTATGTGATCAGGATTTTTTCTATGTTTATATAAGTGCATACAGTATTTTCCAAAGAGCTGTTGATCACTACCATTGTGTGTGTTGACTGCATCCTGTGTCCAACAGTCATGATTGTTGCCCCACCTTTTTCATCTTGCAAGAGAACAGTTATATATGTGCAACTATTGTATAAATACATGTGTGTATTTGGAAGAGGTCTTACAGCCTTTAAAAAGAAGTGGGATTATGGGACGTAAGATAGCTTGCCTCTCATTATGTCTAATGAGCTTCCAGAGGACAGGAAAAATTTTGTGGCTAGGATGGAAAAGGAATTTTTTATCGAACTCCAGCTCAAATGGTAGCTTGAGGGGTCTGAAACATTCAGCCAACCCAGCAAGATTACTTTTCTATACTATATATATTTGTTCAATCTAAGCCCAGGTATTCTAGTTGAGCTAAGT